GACACTGGGTCAGTCCATTGATGTTTCTAGAGCTGGATGTAATGGCAGGAGGTAAAGCCTGGTGAGAAGAGGCGGTCACTGTGGGTGTGGCCTGGGAGTGTGTGTGTGTATATATATATCCTTCCTCCTCCCGTGGCCTTAATTTACTTCCTACTGCTCTTCCATGAGCATCTTCTCTTCCACCATGCCCCTCTGCTGTGCCACCTTGCCCTGGACCAACTGACTGTGGACTGAAACCTCTACAAACTGTGAGCTAAAATAATGTTTTCCTTCTCTAATTTCTGGCTGTCAGATATTTTGTTCCAAAAACAAGACAGTAGCTAAGGCAGTCACTGTATGCACTTCTGTGACTCAGTGGAAGGTTATGAGTGGAGTCCTAGTTTCCCCGAAGCCCTAGGGTTGCAGACATGGCAGGGTAATCGTGTCCTGAAATGTGGCACCATGATGCAGGTCTGCCATTCTGAGGAGCCCGACTCGGGTCTATGAGCACAACTCTGTGTGATCTGCCACTTGCTGTCATTTTGATAGTGTACCTTTTGTCGGGGGTTGGGGTGTGAGGAACCAGGCCCAAAGCTGGTACAAAATGTGTCCTGTTGGCCAGACACAGACCAAGGCTCAGTGGGAGGCGTGGTTTCCCTTGGTAGTGTTCTAGTTCATCAGAGACCACTGTGGATATTGCATCATCTGTGTGTGTGATGAGTGTGCCAAGCCACTCACTTGTGGAAGGACCATCACTCTGACATTATGCAGCCTTCCTTCCTTCCTTCCTTCTTTCCTTTTCCAGTACTGGGGATTGAACTCAGAACCGTTGCAGTGAACTATACTCGCAGCCCTTCCCTATTTTTCATTTTGAGACAGGGTCCCATTAAGTCACTAAGTTGGCCAGGCTGTGTTGGAACTTGTGATCCTTCTACCACAGGCTCCCAGAGCGCTGGAATTCCAGGCATGTACCACCATGCCTGGCTGATGTCTTTCTTCAGTTTTGTGTGCTCTCTTGTCCAAGCCCTCATCTCCCGCATGCTCTGTGGCCCCTCCCTGGTGATGTCCACCCCTCCCCCCAACCAGATGCCCACATCAATGAGTTCTCTCTGCACCGTGGGACACAGCCAACCCCACCCTCCTTCCGGATACTGCAGCCTCCCAGCTGCCTGACTTCTCTGGCCATCTTGACCTCTCTGGTCCCAGCCCAGACCTCTTGTCTCATCGTCTTCCTTGTCTGGATCTGTTACTGTCAGAATCCTATGGGACTTGGTTGTTGTGGTCTCTCTTCATTGTACTCAAGGTGGGGCTGCAATTCCCAGGCCCGTGTACCCCAGCTTTGCCCACCTCACCCCACTCCCCTCTCTGTTGCCATCCAGCCTCTTCCTCCTCTGCCTGCTGCAGCTGCCCATGTCTGCCAGGCTTTCTCTCCACCTCTGGGCCGTTGCACTCAGAACCCTCTTTGCCTTGCTTCCAGCCTCGTTTTTCAGTTTTAGTTTACACCTCACATTCCAGGCTCTGCTCAATTAGATACCTCCCCAGCATGATTCTGCAAGCCCCTAAGGCCAGCAAGGTCCCTCTAATGTGGGCTTTTCATTTAATTTTTATTTTGATTGTAATGCTGGGGCTCAGACCCAGGGTTATGCACACACCAGGCAAGTGCTCCACCTCTGAGCTGCACCCCACCCCTGGGAAGCTTAGTTCAGTGCAGTGATTGAAAGATTGGGCTCTGGAATTAAACTCCCAGGTTCAAATGCTGGCTCAAGCAAGCAGCTTGGTTTCTTCTCTGTCATACTGCTAATAAGGTCTTGTGCTAGAGCCCCTTGACTGTGACTGATGGGGTTAAATGGTCTCACATCATGCTCACTACTTCAGCAGCTGATGCAAACACATTTGATACTCAAGAAATACTCCTATAATGGTTTTTCCTCCTTGGTAGCAATTTCCAGCCAGAATTAAACAGTGGGTGACAGATTCTTTAATGATATAGACCTCTCCAGGGGACCCTGAGCTCCGTGGAAGAAGAGCCAGGTCCTGGTTGCTGTCATCTCAACCCGCTCAGCACATCAGGAAGCACCTGGTACTAGCCAAGATCCGGGAATGTTTGCACAGTGAATGGATGTAAAACCGGATAAGGACAGTGGTGGGGGGGTGAAGATACTCACTTGGCAGCCTGTTCACAGCACAAAATCCAATACTGCGGGAGGCCTGGGGTGAGGGGTATTGGGGTTTAGGGGAAACGGGGACCATTTATGGCTGGAAAGATCAGGAGTGTGTGTTTTTGAAACCTTCAAGGATAGGAGTGTTTGACCACGTAGCAATCATGTTGAGCTGTTGGGACAGAGGGAGGAGATTAAGGAGCCAAATAAAAGTCAAGCTTCTTTGTTTTGTTTTGTTTTGTTTTTTAACTTTTGGGGGGAAACTGGGAAATCTCTGGCACTATTTTAGGTTCTGAAAAAGCTGCCAACTTCCATAGTGAGAATATGAGGGGTGCTTGTTAAAGACACGTACTTCTGAAGTGAAACCCAGGTCACTCAGGCTGTGGGCACCAGCGACAGTGACTGCAGTTATCCCGGGAACAGCAAGGGGCTGAGGAAGGCGTGACTGCAGGAAGAAGCCTCAGGAAGGCTGGTCCTGCAGGGGGGCTGAGACAGACAGGACAAGGGTGCCTGGGGTGGAGCAGGTGGGCCTCGGCCATGCAATGTGCCCCTGTTGGGCGCAGTCAGCTCAGAAGTGAGCCTAAGGAGCCTGCATGAGGTCACCTCTGGGCCAATGTGACTGAAGACAGTCACTTCACGAGGTAATGGGATCCCAGAGGCCCATTGTTGTACCCAATTTTGAAGTCCTTGGAATCTGTCTCATCTCCAGCCTGGCAGATAAGAAAACTAAGGCCCAGAGAGGTGACGTGACTTTCTCCACACCACACGGCCAGTTAGTGACAAAGAGGTCAGAACTCAAGCTTCCCATGGTCCAGGCTGATGTCCACAGGCAGGGAAATTTCCACTTCTTATAGATGTCCAGCTAAGAAGATGGCCTTGTTCATAGGTAGCTTTTCTGGGAAGGAGCAGATAGTGTGGTTTATAATTTTCCGTTGGTGGTAACTAAGGGTCATCTACAGGATAAATGACATGGTTCCCCCAGACAGTGCCACAGCAGCCTCTGATCATCACCACTACTGGCAAACCCCAGCCTGTAGTGTGTAGCTTGCCTGACCGAAGGGTGGTACAATTGGATGGGGGTCTCAGGAATCATTCTTGGATGCTTGAGTTTGACTAGCGCAGCACTCCCGCCCTTGAGACACGCAGTGTACATGTTCCCATCTGAACAGCAGAGTGAGGATGGATGCAAATGTTGAAGAACAAAGGCAAGGAGGAAGTGCCATGTGGGGTGGGTGGGTCGGTCTTCTGCAGAAGGGAGCCCAATAAGATAGGGTTAGGGAAAAGCCAGGTGCTGAGGGGTTCAAGGAGTGCGTCCTGTGGTCATCTTCATCACTGGTGACCTAGTTAAACAGATCAGGTCCACAGTGACCAGTTCTAGAACATGGCCACCTATGAAGTACCCACATCCCTGGTCCCCTGGTACAGGGCCACCAAGAACCCCAGTGACGCATTCCTGGCCTGTGAGGTCAACAGCTCTTTCTCCTCTTTGCCCGCTGTTCAGCTTCAGACAGGAAAGTCATGTCAGTGCAGGCCAGGAAGCCACTCAGCACTGCAGGCCGGGCTCAGGTTGGGTCACACTTCCCAGCCCCTTGTGAGGCACAGCCAGCGCCTATGGGCTGAGGAGTGCAGCAGCGTTCGAAGTTTTGATCAAAAAGGAGGAAGAGACCTGGAATGATGGCAGCTCACATCCCTGTTCCCATGACTCTGCCCAACTCAGGGTCTCAGTCTTGGGGATGAACAGGAGCTTTAAGGGGTTACCATTAAGTGTGGCTCCTCCACGTAGAACCAGGGCACAAGGGTGGCTTTTCTCATAGGCAGGGTGAGGCCACTGGCTGCCTCCAGGTGAAAACCCAGAGCTCCAGTTTCACAGAGATCACCGATGTCACAGCAACCTCCAAGCCAAAGTGACCTCCAGCGACATCATCAGCCCACTGGCTAACTCATGCCACCCTAGTTCTCAGTTAATGTGGCTGTCACTACTGCTCAGAGTGGTGGCTTTGTTGTTCTTGTCCAGGGAGAGAATCTGTCCTTCCCTATGTGCTGGGCACCACCAGTCTCTCTTGTGCATGGGGACACTACTGTCCCCAGGGTCTGTTTTTTGAGGGCTCCATGTATTTAGACTTGTGGGGGTTTTTTTTTGGTTTGTTTTTTCTTTTTCTTTTTCTTTCTTTTTTTTTTTTTTTTGAGCAAATGGATCAGCAGAAAGAATATCAAGAACTGTCTCCAGAGAGGCAAAGGCCAGAGGGAACAGGACATTATTGGCTGATGGCCTATGCAGAAGGATCAAGCACGACCATTTGGAGGCTTTGCAGTTTTTACTAATTCTGCACCTCCATAAAGGGCTTCATTGCCAACCTGGGGAAATCAGAAGAAGACAGAGCTGCCCTGGTCCGTCTGGGACCTGTGCCTTTCCCTGAGTATAGCACTAAGGGACATCACTGGCTACGTGGTTACCAGATCTCACCCCTGATTTATGGTTTCTATGTGACTCTATCTGAGTTGGTTACACTGAGAAGGTTACCTTATCCCCTAACACTGGATTCACCCCAGGGACACTCTGCCTCCTGGTGAGCTCAGCCTGTGCCCTGCCACCTAGGCTGCTCTCTTTCATCAAGTGGAGAAATTCCCAGGTAGCAAATCAAGTCATGATTGCTGACTTCCCCGTGGCAGGTGCATTTGTTCCTCAATGTTGATTCCCAGAATCAACATTGCAAAGCATTTCCCCCACCTCTGAGTTGCAGAATTTTTAAATGCATTTGATCCCAGGCTTGCAAATTAGGTCTGTCACCCAAGGCTCCACAGGGAAGAGGAAAAGGTGGCCACAGGCATCCAGTGACTGAAATTCGGCTCTCCCATACATAGGTGCTGGCTGTCACTCAGGCCCGGTCCCTGGCGCTCCCTACTGGCCTCCCTGAGCTGCATCTCCTGTGTCCTCATCAACTGTTGTCTGTCAAGTACTCACAGGCACAGGAAGACAGGAAGGAAGTCACCCTTCAGATAGCAGATTGTCCTGGTCCCCGGGTACAGAAAGCTGGGATCACTCAGGTGACGCTCTGTTCTTTAAACCCAACAAGGATTGATCTGACAACCCAAAAGCCTGTTTTTCATTGCCAACGTCATAAAGAGATAGCTTTGTTTGTTTGTTTATTTATTTATTTTGTCATTTTGAGACACTATACATTTCAGGCTGGCCTTGAGTTCACTTCGTAACTCAGGCTGGTCTCAAACTCACAAGGATCCTCCTGCTTTAGCCTCCCAAGTGCTGGGATTGTAGGCATGTGTCACCACATCCAGCTTGAAGAGATCATTTTAAAGATTAATATGTCAGATGAGCAATGTTGTGAAGGTAGTATGTTACTATACTATGAATTAATGCTGCAAAATACAACTTACATGTTTGTAACCAAGTCCAGATTTAATGCTCATGGCTGATATGCCTATAGATCATGAGGCCAACTTCACGGCTGCTATCAGAATTAAAAGGGAAAATAGGATCACATACAATGTGATAGAATTGGAAATCTCACAGTGGGTAGCGAGCGGTGTGTCCTGAGTCCTTTGATACGTGTGTTCTGGATCTGGATCACCCATGACGGTTGTTCCCTCCTGGGCAGTCATTCCCTTCCTCACTGCCCCTCTCATTCCTTCTTGTCCTTCTCGGTGGATGCAAGAAACATTCCCTGCCACTTGTCATCTTGGTTCTTTTGCAGCCCCCTACCCATCTTGCTGTGCCCCAGGACCCAAGTGTCCAGGGCAGGGACAGAAATGGCTCCCCAATCCCTTCCTTTTCCTCTCCCCTCCCAATGGCAAGGGTCCTTGTGGGCTGTGACCTCTGAGACAGGGCTCACTGTCCCTTTCTTTGCTAAATAAATAAATTATTGTGAGTCATCTGGTTCCCATTTCAGACCAACAACTCTGTCGGGAAGAATGCAGTCCCCAGGGAAGTCCCCGCTGTGGCTGGTGCTCCTGGTCATGTGTTTCTCCAGGGCGCTGAGCTTGGACCTGGAGTTCATGACGCGTCCTTTGGTGAGTAAATCCTTTGTCACAATCTCCGATTTCCTGGGAATGTCACAGGCAGAAAATATTTCTTTACAAAACCGGGACACAAGGGCCTTTGCACAAAGTGAGACAGGAGGGTGACTGTGGACCGTGATGGTGCCGTGCTAGTGATAGATAGCTTGTCACTTTCAGTGGGGGCGGGGAGGTCAAAGTGGGGGCATCCAAGGGCACATCGGCATGGCTTCCAGGGAGGCTGTGAAATACCATGACAAGGCCGCAGTGCCGGAGGATGAGTGGAGAATGAGATGTTCGCACAGCGCTGCTTTCAATTTGAAACTCAGACAGGCACACAGTTCACAGGAACTTGGTCCGCGTATGCCGTGGTGACAGTGGGCCTAGCACAGGGACCACAGGCCAAGTCTAGGACCTTTGCTGACACACTGTCCAGGTGGCTTAGTCTTTAGAAAGCCAATGAGAGTTTAGCTCAGGGGTGATGAGTGTACTGCTCCCCTTAAGGGATTGCTCGGTTATTCCTGATCGAGCCTCTCTGTGTACCAGAGTCGGGGCATTTACTGCCAGGACAGCTTGGGAAACCCGGAAGTTTACTTGTCCCTTTTGGACCACATCCTCTCTTCAACCCAGAAACCACAGATGAAAGGGTAACCACAGAGGGGAGCCAGTGCAGAGGGCAGATGGACTGTTTCCTGGAACTGTGGGTTCTATTCCCAAATGGCACTTACTATGTCACTGAAGCTTTCCTTGGGAATCATTTGATCTTCAGTAACTTTCTCTCAAGTGGACTCTATTTAATCCCATCTTATGGTTTGGACGGAGGCACAGAGAGGTCAATTTTCTGTACGTGCCAAAATCATGTTATGGTAGAGCTGAGATTTGAACTCAACTCCTGTGGCCTTTGCTTAGAACCACTGCATTCTCTATCTCACATGTCCTAAGAACTTACTGTGTGCTGCTCTGTAGCTCTCTTATTTCCTGTGACAACCATTGGAAGTTGGTGTTATTTGATTCCCATCTTACAAAAGGGTATACTGAGGTTCATTCAGGATGAGTCAGTTTCCCAGTGTTGCCTGGCTGGTGAGCACTATAGCCTGGGGCAGGCTAAATGACAGAGCTCCTTGATCTCCCTACAGAAACCAGCCAGAGAACAATATAAGGAGGACTTGAGGAGGAAAGAAAAATTTATGAGCATGTGTGGTGGCTGCTGGGCCCTAGGACAGCAGAAATGTGGGTGGGCTTGGTGAGCAGAGGTCATGAGAATGATCACATTGGTCACTATGGGGGCATAGGGTTCAGGGAAGAGACAGAAAGCACCGGTTTAGCATCATGATTGACCTTTCCTGACAGGGCTCTAGTCAGTAGTCTGAGAACCAGGCCAGGTGATCTCCTCTACTTCTGGCTCTCAAGGCAGGTTGTGAAATTCTTCCTGGGTCACTCCACAGAGTTCCAGTGTGTGTCCTCTGGGCTGTGGTACCCCCCTCCCCAACACCTGCAACCTGAGCTCACCTGGGACACTCAGGTGCATGAAGCCTAGGTGAGGACTTCTCTAACTGGACCCTCCCAAATGTCCTTCCAGGTGCTACGTGAACGGGATTTTCTAAGTGTGGAGCTGCGGAGGCCAAGGCGCGCTGGTACGTGAAATCCCTGCTGGTGATCTGCCTTGTAAGCCTGACCAGTGGCTCTTGTGCACCTCTTCAAACACTGTGACCCCATCATTCAGCCTCCCAGCACATCCGTCCCATGGTGGGAAGGCGCATTGAGGGCGACAGAGAGCAGGCTTGCCCTAGGGTTGGGACAGAGGCCTCTGCTGGTTCCCTGCAGGAGTGGCCACCAGGCCCTCATGGCTCTGGGCCCTGATGCAGGCTTCTGGTCTCACCCCAACAACCCTCACCACTCCCTGTGGCAGGCAAAGGGACTGCAGTGTGCTCATTTGGTATTCTGGAAGACATTTATCAGTGCGTAACTCAAACTTCTTGCAGGAGAGTTCAAACTCTCGTTCTGGCTGAGTTTCTCCAAGATTTGGGCTGCCAGCTTCACTGGGAGCAGCTGGTGACCCCATAGCTGTAAGAGTAGGGGTCTTTCCTGCACTTCTGGGCCCCACTGAATGGGGCCACAATGCCTTGAAGAAACCACTTCCACATCTAAACACGACATTCCAAAGATCTTCCAAGCGTGTTTTTGTTAGAAGCAATTGTGGCAGTGATAAATCACCAAGAAAACACGTTTTCAGTCCAATGCACATGGTCCTCCTGGGCCTCTAGAGTCATTCAAGACATGCTGGAAATCAGCCTAGCACTTGTGGAAGATGGATTGGACATCAAAGTAGGAAGCGGCCGTAGAAAGGAGAGGTCCTGGCTGGGCTCAGGGGATCCCTGTTTAGGAGGAATGTAAGTTTGGTTAGAGCTCTCCAGGGAATATTGAGTGTGTTTAGCTTTTTTTGAAGAAAAGATTCTAAGTTTCTTGTTTGTTTGACTGTGTCAATGGTGACTCCTAATTGGAATGATGTCCATATTCCTTGGCCTTTAAGTGCATGTCTATGGAGAATACATTCATCGTAATTTGGATCCTCATGGCTATTCTTACTGGCCGTGATAGGTCAGATTCTTTGTTAGGTGTTTTGGTCCTCTGCAACCTAAAAGAGGAGAGGGTTTTTGTTTGTTTGTTTTTGTTTTTCTCTTTTTTTCTTTTCTTGGTTCATTGTTCGTAGAGGTTTCCAGTCCATAGTTGGTCGTTTCCAAGGTTGTACAGCATGGTAGAAGGGCCTGAGTGAAAGAAAACAGCTCACCTCATGGTATTCAGGAAGTAGACAGCAAAAGAAGGAGCCAGGGGTGGTAATACACCCTGCAGGCCACACCCAGCAACTGGTCTCTTCATCAGGCTTGCCTCACAACAGCGAGCCACCTAGGACCCCCGTGATCCAATCATCTCCCCAAAGCCACATTATAATTGCAAGAGGCTTTGAGGGGACCTCTGCCTAAGAACCATCGCTCTAGAGGTCCTCACATAAGATCTCAACTTCTTAACAACAGTCTTGTAGGAAGCCCATGGCCCTTATTCAGGGATGGACAGCTATTGTTCACAGTCTAATGGGCCACCTCATCCTCTCTTGGACTTTGAGGTCCACGATCACCATTCTCACTTATGTGCCAGGGTCCCACATGTGCTTCCCTGTATATCTCTTGGGTATTTTGTAGAGGAGGACTAGTGGTGACATCTCATCCTATCAGGTAAAGGACTTGGTGTGGAATTGCCCTGACAATGTGGGTTGGTGATTAGAGGTTAGGATGGATCATTTGCTCAGTACTTCACAATCTGTCATCTCATAACTCATGTTCTCATAACTCATGCATTTCTGTCTGATGGGCCACGACTGGGATTCCGTGGTTTCCCCTCTGTGGATTGCCCTTCCTAGAACTCAGCTGTACCAGCTGATTGGGGGGCTAGCATCCTACAGAGGATGTTACCTGACTGCTACTTCTAGAAAATACTGAGAAATGAGCACAAGATAGGTGTCTTTTGTCATTTACTTGTTATGTGGTCACATGGGAGAAACAGAGTCCTGTCCTTTGAGGACACAGGTTCTTTGAGAAGTTGGTTCTTTGGCCAGGAGAGAGCGTGCTAGGCCCCTTCTCTGGGCCGAAGGTAACTCCCACCTCTTGGCAGGTGGGAGGTGAATTTCCGCACCTGCTCAGGCTCTGGTTTCAAAAGCCACTGGAACCCATCAGCTCAGGCTCTGGTTCTAGAACCCATTAGCATTTCCAGGAAAAAGTAGTACTGTTTGTTCAAATAGTTATGATTAAGATCCAGACACCACATCACAGTTTGAGGCCAACTTTCAAGAAATGTATCTTTAACACAAGAGCTATGGGCCTGGCAGTGACCTGAGAAGAGGAGAAATCCTGGCTGATTTTGCTTGAGGGAACCACTAATAGGTCCTTTCTTCACTTGGGGACACTCCAGACACTTAGAGTCAGGCAATAATGAGCGAGGAAAAGCCAGATAAACAACACAGAGGAGAAGGTGACCGAGCAAAGAAAACATGGCAAACCTCCATTAGGCAGATAGAGGGTACAGGGACATCAAAGCAGAGGGAGCTGGCCCCATCCCTCCCAGTGCCCCAAAACTGGGCACAGGAGTGGCCTTTTCCAGGCCCTGAGGTTCTGGGGTTTGCATTTCTAACCCCCTAACCTTGGCTGAACCTCTCACCCCTACCCACGAGGTCAGGGTCATGCTGACAACTGCACATCCTAATGTCTCCCAGGGGCAGCTGCCACCCTTGGGTCCCTGTGCTGTCCAGTCATCTAGGGGAGGACCCAGCATGGGAGATGACTCCTGTGTCCCTCAGAGAGCCATGGGGTGCTGCTTGGGGGGTCCCATGCTCTGTCTGTCTTGAGCAATGTTCTTGTATGGCTTCCAGGTTCCCCATTCTTCATGAGGATTCTGCTTACAGATTGCTGCTTTAGAAAGGTCTTTCCTAAGAATTGAGCGAAGTTTTTTTTTGTGGTTTTTCCATTAATTGTTAATAATTTTGTTTTTCTGCTTGACTTTATTTTAAAATTGACTTTAGAAGTATTTGATCTCCTGTGAACACATATCCAACAGTTATGTCTCATGGAATTACAGTACTTCAGGGAGCAGGTGTCAGCTCCTTGAGGGGACAGAGAGTGTACAGGAAGCAGGCCTCCCCACAAGAGCAGCTGTGGGGGGCAACTAAAACTTAAACAAAGAAAACAAAGAGGGAACAAGTTTAGGTGCTCAATTGGCTCTCCATGATTACTTCCTGGGATTTTTCATTCAGATTGCAATGGTAGATTCCAAACCCACCTGCTTATTAAAGTCATGAGTAGGAACTCTTTAAAATATATTTTTCTGGGCTTATCCCCTAAAAATTATCATTTGGGTCTACAGCAGGTCTTGTCTGCTCTTGAAAGCTAAGCAGTGTGGGGCTTGGTTAGTACTCAGATGGGGGATTATCATTTGGTTGGCCTGGGTTGAGGCCCTAAAGTGAGTGTGTATGTGTGAGTGTGTGTGTGTTTGTGCAACCCACACATGGTGTTTGGTTCCCAAGATGTGCACAGTCCCCACTCAAATGTGGAGAGTACTAGAGTTGATTTTGTCTTGAAATGAGCCTGGCTTGTTAAATTGCAATAGTGTTTTTGGGGTGCCTTCAGAGAAGCTGCTTCCTCTGCTTAGAGGTTCCCCCAACACACAGGGTGACTGTGTCTGAAACTCTCTTCAAAGGCATTGAGGAGGCAGGGAGCCACCGCCCAGGCCAGGTGAACAGCTGCTCATGTCCCCTAGGCCAGAACCCGCTAGCGTCCCAGGTCCTTTCCTCCCCGGGCTTTGCCTTTGCCGTAGCTCTGTGGAAATCGTGGAGCAGCGGCGTGGGGATTCAGCATGTTCTTGAAGCCTGCAGATACTCTATAGACATATCAGAGAGGAAGGGCTCAGGGACAGAGGGGACCCCAGGCAGACAGCGGTATCCTGCTGGGCTCCGACCCTGGGATGCAGCCAGCTGGGTGGGCAGTGGGTGAAGCAGGGTTGTTGCTGGCCTCTGCTGTCTTGAATACAGCCACTGTCCAGGAAATCCTGTTTACACTCAGAGGAGGGTTCACTGGCCTGGTTACAGAGGGCCCTGGAGCTTGGGGGCCCCTTCAGGGACAAACATTGCCACTTTATTTTTCAGGAAAATGTGTGCTCCAGGCCAGCCTTGTACATATCAGCAACGCCCTCTTTCAAATGGTCCCAGTGGGCAACATGATGTGTCCAGCCTTAGCAGCACACAAACAAAAACTACCAGGATGTCCAAGAAGCTGGTTTCCACCACTCAGCCATTTAGAATCAAAAGGAAAACAGGAAACTGAGGCAGTGTCATAGTAGCATGACAAACTGTGATTCTGTGTGAGACTTTGAAAGTCACTTTGCTTTTCTCGTCCCTACATCCTATATCATACAATGCATCCCAAGCAACCTGCACAGAGCATTTTTAACCCTGAGTTCATTACTGCTGGTTGAAGGATACCAACGTGAAATACTTCTGAGCGGGTTGATGGTTGAAACCAACCTCTTAAGACAAACATAGTCTGCAAGGAAACAAATATTCCAGTTTTCTACAATAAAATCTCAACAAGGGGAGTGTCCCATGATAAACCTTCTGCTAGAGTTTCCCTTCAGGAATGCTTAGAGTATGCAGAACAAATCTTACAAAGTTTTGGGAAAATTCTTTTCTTTTAAAAAGCAGTCATAGAGATTTCTGATTTCATGATAAAATTTACATAATCATGGTTTCATGCTTGGCTTACCTTTTGAAGCAATAGTTTCCCAAATATCTCCTTAATCATTTCCCTATCTAAAAATATCCTCAGTGTACCTAGGTGGAAAGTTTGTATTCTTTAATTTCTTAATGAACTACTGCTCAAGCCTGGAGCTCTGGTCTGATTGTATATTCTAACCACAGTGGGGTCAGAGATCCCCATGGTGACCGAGAGACAAACCTGTGAGGTGGCTCAGAGTGGTGAGTTCAGTAGGGATACACTGTCACAGACCACTGTGAGCCAGTGGGATGGCAGGGCCACAGGAAGGGAGAGGAACAGACCCTGTCCTTGGGACACTCAGGATCAGTGGCCGCGACAGGACATAATGAGCAGGGAAAGGACAGTCGTAAGATTTATATTTGAGGTTCGTGTGGCCTGGCTGGAGCTAACCTGTGTAGAGGAACAGAGCCATTAAGAAACCAGCAGTCGACAGCCCAGAGATCATCTGGAAAAACAACCAAGAGCTAGAAGGTCTTTGCATTTTACTTTCCAATTTGCCAAACTTGCATTGCACAGCTATGGTGCGCTAAATCTCAGCAGAAGACAGAGCATGTGGTGTGTGTATAGACTAAGAGCAAGGCACTGTAAGGTTTTCCTCGGAGCTCTTCCCGCCGTGCATGACCCAGCTCTTGGAAAGTGCATCTGTCAGTGAGGCTGGAAACACTGCAGCCCACTCCTCTGGTCTGGACCCTGGCTCGTAGCCTCTGAACTGTGCCTCTTTTGAGTCCCCTCCTTCTACCCTGACCTCCACAGTTTGTGTTTCACACAGTGGCCTTCACCTGGGTCACGAGGCTGGGGGTAGGGCTGGTATGGAGGAGACAGACTCTTTTCTGAAAGCGTTCCCTAGGAGTTCTATGGGAAGCTGTGCCCAGCCTCCATCCCCACCTACCATTTCCTTTACCAGTTGGAAAGTCCACTGGTCTCTGTCCACATCTCTCATCAGTTTGCATGGTCTCCATGCTTCTGTTTCAGCTGCCCTGAGTGGCCCTGGGGTGGGTGAGCACACGGTGGACGTCGAGATCAGCTTTGAGAACGTGTCCTTCATGGAGTCTTTCAAAACTCAGCTTCACGGCCTCAGCTTTCCAATTCAAGTAAATGACAACAGCCTAGCGACTGAGATTCTGAGCATAGATGTGACAACAGGTGAGTGAGAGTCCTGAGCTTTAGGACAGGTGACAGGGTTTCTTGGGGAAAAAGGCGACTGAATGCCTTCCCATTGGAGTGCATCCTTCTGGAGGTAACAGCAAGGATTTGGAGCGCACGGCTTCATGGCCTTCCGGGGTAAACTCTGCAGCCAGGGTCTCCTTACTATAAATGGTGACCCGAGGTTTGCTTGGTGGTTTCCATGATTTTTGCCATAAACTGGCTCTGAGATATGACCAGGTCCCTCATGACAAAATACTGGATCCTAGGTGTCATTAATCACAGCAAGGGCTTGTCAGGATATTAAACAGCATCACGCCCTCTTTTTTGTGAACTCATAGATCAGGAAATAGGAATTAGGAAATGGATCAGAAGTGAGACATTAGGCAGAACCTCCCAGATCATGGACTAGACTTTTGGGGTGCTATACGATAAATGCCTGGCAGCATCTGAAGGTTGGGAATCTGAGGACGTTGGGGTAGATCCCATTCAGGGTCTTTCCTAAGGTTGTGATCCAGTCAGTTCAAATATCCATGGAGCTGGAGAATATACTGCTAAGTCCAAGCCTGTTATGGGAGACTGCAGTTCCTCAGGCCAGCACCTCCAGGAAAGAGGGAGAGAGAGAGAGAGAGAGAGAGAGAGAGAGAGAGAGAGAGAGAGAGAAGAAGAAGGAGGAGGAGGAGGAGGAGGAGGAGGAGGAGGAGGAGGAGGAGGAGGAGGAGCTACAGTATCCATTATAACCTAACTTCAGACCTGGTCACCAGGTCTGGGCCCACCCTGGCACAGGATGGCAGGACGCTAAGAATGTGAGTGTCCAGGATGTAGAAGCTGGTGGTAACGCACTTCACTTCAGGGTCTCTGGTTACCATCACAGCCACGGCTGGCCATTTGCTGTTAGACGTGACCATTCTAAGGGTGCGCCAACCACCATGGTCACTCAATGATCACCTCATAACCAGAGCTGCCACCTCCCAGCTGCCATGCCTGGTGGCACAGTGATGCACTTATGTACATCCTGGAGGCCTCCTCTGGAGGGCAACATGGAGATGCAGCAGGATTCTCTACCTGTGTAAATGCTTCCCCTCTGTAACGCAAAGGTGGTGACTGTCTTCTCTCTCTTCTGCTTGGTTGGCGACAGTCTGCACACCCATCAGAAATGAAATCTGGTGCTCCTGTGAGTCAGGCTACGAGTGGCCTCAGGAAAGGTGCCTCCACAGTGCTGTCTGTCAGGAACACAGCAGTGCCCCCTCAGGGAACCCCTGCAACTGTCTGAAAGGACTCCCTCCCGAGGGACCTTTCTGCCAGCCCCCAAAAGGTAACTGCTCCTTACATGTTTGTTGACTGACTACTCAGTTTTAGTCCAAGCTCATGTTTCTCTGTTCTTTCTGTATTCACACACTAATGTAAGACTTTTATTTCAGTTCTTACCCTGAAAATGAAAGTCAGACTGAACGTGGGTTTTCAGGAAGACCTCCGGAACACATCCTCTGCCCTCTACCGATCCTATAAGACTGACCTGGAAAGAGCGGTAGGTTTTGGCCCCAGCAGCCTCTTTTCCTACAAATGCTGGGCTGAACAGCTTTTGGGCAGCAGCCCACGGCTGCCCTCAGAGGGTGGGATGTCCCTACCCTGAAGCTTTCATATGTAAACCACCCGCATTAGCTGCGGGCAGGGGCAGGGTGCTGCCTCCAGTAGTTACTCTAATCCTAAGGAGGCTTTGGTTAGCTCATCCCTGGCAGAGTTTCCCAGCTGGCATGGAACAAAGTGTCCCAGGTGGGCAGTTTTGAGACTGTGACCCACCTAACTCCTCAGAGTGGGAGCAGCTTCCTGCCTACCCCAGGAAGCATGCAGAGATGCTATTTGCCAGGGAGGCTGTGATGCAGTACCGACTTCCTTGGGAGACCTTGTAACTTCTGCTTTGGATGCCTGACAATATGGTCACTCTGCCCAGCAGTGAAGCCATGCATACACACATGCATGCCTGTATGTGTACATGTGAGTGTGTGTGTGTGTGTGTGTGTGCGTGCACATGCACACATACACCCCACTAGGTTACCTAGCTTAAAGGGAAAAAAACGTTGCACATTGATCTTTGGGTATCTGACCCGGGTACACTGTACACTGTCACTGCTCTGCAGAGGTGACTTAGTCAAGCAGCATCTCCTTTGGGTTTAGCATTGAAAGAAGCAAAGTTTGTCAAACCCACATGAGCTCAGCCGACGCTATTGTGCTGTCCAGGGAGGATTAGGCAATGCAGCGCCACGGGCTGTGCCCAGACCCCTGGATCAAGGTGTCTTTGAGTAGGGCGCTTGGAGTTGCACCCAAATCCAATAGCACTGTGCTGCCCCCTCCTGAGGCGTAAGTGAGCTGACTGTGACCTGTGTCCTGCAGATACGGTGACTGCGTGAAGACTACGGAACCTTCTCAGGCTCAGCCTCACTGCCTTTACTCAGCCCCTCTTCCCTGTTTCATTAGGGTCTGATGGCTGTCCCTGCCCTCCCCACTTGCACCCCATCTCCCCTCCTGGCCGCTTCCCTGGGTGACACTTTTGCACACTTCCTCAAGCATCTGCTTCCCCAAGAGCCCAGATGGATATAGGTAGTTTGATTGCTTCAAAGATCTTCAGATGTCAGAGCCGCGTGATATATATGAGAAAATCTTAACAGGGTGGTGAGGACCGTGTGCTTCTAGCTGTGTTTCAAATCTGTGCATCTCTGGCCAGTTTCTGATACATAACGTTTGTGTGTCTTTTTTTTTCCTCCAGTTCTGGGAAGGCTACAGGATTTTACCAGGCTTCAGATCAGCAGCTGTGACAGAGTTCACGTAAGAATGCTATAATCCACTTCTTTCTATTTGATGAGAAACCAACATGTCTGTGAAGGGGAAAAACCCCATTAGCGGGCACCATGTAGGGCACTCAATGGGCAGAGTCTGACTGAGGTGAAGACCAGTATCAGATGCAGGGGTTAATAAAAGGCAAAGGAAGTGCTGAGAGGAATCTCTCACCCCTTACGCCTAGTTGCTCCTGCTCAGAAATAAGGAAAAGAAAAAGATGGGTTCTTTTGATGCATGCAAGGATTTTGCAAACAAACATGTAATTTTGCAGTCCAGCAAGTTTAGAAACATAAAAATGAAATGATCCCTTGGAACAATGCCATTATTCTAGAAGATGCAGCCAGCAGTCAGGATAGCGAGGTGCCAAGCTCCAGCACTTACCTTCCCTGAGCCAGTCCCTGCCCCTGAGGGTTCTGTGTTCTATTTCAAAGACGTGTCTGCCAATCTGGGAAGTCAGGGATCTGTCCAGCAGCAGCTAGGATTTTGCCTTCACTTAACATCAGTCTGGCTGCTGCTCCAGAGCCCACGAGGCTGTAACCACAGTCAGCGGCTTCTGGACTCTGTCTGCCTCCCTATGGTCAGATTGTAGGACTTTGTCCACTGGTGACCAACTGGCAGTATTTTTCCCTTGCATTCCCTGCCTGTGTGTGCAAGCCTTGTCTTGAGCTGACTGTGAAGACGGGTTTATGTCAGTAATTCCTGAGAATAAGTTTCCTGGGTGGTTGCTATTATTTTGTTTTCCCAAGCAAATAAATTCCAAAGAGCTAGACTCTCCTGGGTCAGTGTCTGCTCTGCTGAATGGCATGGTTTCTTCCCAGCAATGGCAGTGTGATTGTGAACTTTGAAGTCAAGACTACCACGCTCCCCCCTGGGCGAATCCAAAAGGCCAACGAGCAGGTGCTGCAGAGCCTCAACCAGACCTACAAAGTAGATGAAAGCTCCTTTCAAGGGATGAACAGTAAGTGGTTCCATCTGCGTCTTTCCCACATAGATTCTATGCAGCTCGATGGTGGCATTCATGCTGCAGTTAAACCCAGGAAGTCACACAGCAATGGGAGAGTTGGGTTCCAACCCTTCCTCTTGAGCCACTGCCTGCCTGCCTGGCTCACATCCCTGCCCTGGGATGCAGGGCTGACGGGGTCAAAAACACTCAAGGATGTAAAACCAGCACTGGGATGGGAGGTGCTCACAGCAGGCACTAACACCAAACAGGGGCAACCTTGTTCCAGAGCAGAGGGCTCAGCCTCCCTTCCTCCCCGACCTGCAAGGGTCACCAGGTGACTCCTATGTGTGGAAATGTTCCAGAGCCATCACTTCAGAGCCAGCTCATTTTAAATGCTTCCCTCCAGTCTGCACATGGGTGCAGCGTGGGTGTGCCCATGAGGGGGAGGACCTGTGGCTACTTGGGAGCCAGGAGGATGAGAGATGAGTGTAAACTGACCCAGGAAGCATCAGACATCGCTAGAGTGACACCAAGAACCATAATGAGATGAGGTGGCAGTGTATTCATTCAAAGGACAGAAGCAGCAAAATCAATCAAACCAGAAGGCCAAAGAGCAGGGAATAAAAGGCCTAAAATACGGGCCCACACTGCACAGCTTCGAGACCTGGCTCTTCCTGGCTCTGAGGCCTGCTGGCCAGGTGGCCAAGCTTTCTCACTGGAAAAGAGTCCTCTGTGTGGACCCAGGGTGCGCACGTCGATCTCACATTCATGCGTCCAGCGATGTTATTTTCTCCCAAAACACAAGTGATGAAATGGAAGCTTCCAGAGGGCAAGGTGCTCTCTCAGGGACTGGCAGTGAGCAACCCAAGGCCAAAGCCAGACCACTGCCTCACTTAGGCACAGATGGCCGGTCTCCTAACAGTTGAATTTTTTTTTAAATTATATTTTAACCAGGGGGCTTGAAGAGGTATTAAAAAATATTTGTAAATACTGGTATTTTGACTGGGACACCAACCCACTCCCTCCATAGTCATAGGATATTATTTATTGCCATATCTATAAGGTGTCAAGGTCTGGCCGGGCATCCAGCCCCCTGGAGAACCCTTGCTGAGGGCCCCCACTCTGACTTCCTCAGCCCAAATGGCTCATGAAGGACATGGTGCCCCAGTTTCCATGGGAGGGACCACATGCTGCATAAGGAGAGGACACCTACCTAAAACACACATGCAAAGAGCATTGTTATATTTGTATCTGGGAAACGATTCAAGGCAGTGATTCTGGAGAAATTTTACTATCCAAGCAGAAATAATAGCCACAGTTTCTTATATCCTCTCCCAAGATCGCACTAGGTGGACTATTGTCCAGATGGGGGGAGCAGAGGCCCCTCGAGGCTAAGCAGGCCTCCCGGGGCCACATTCACTCATGGGACAGAATCAGGATGCCACCTATACCTGTCACCTACAATGCTCTAGCTCTGAAGGATCTGAGGAGACTGGGTCTTTAGAACTTCTTACTTCCCAGGCAAGCTTTATTTGTTCATGATAATTAATTTGCGTTTCCATTTGTAACTCACTGCAGGCTTAGATCAAAGACCTGAGTGAACACAGGCTAAGAGCTGTTGGTAAGAAGCCACTGACCTTATTCCAGCCAGCAGCTGGGAATCTCTGATGTTAGCCTGTGGCCCTTTTCTCGTAAACACTGGGACGGTTTTCTCCCAGACTGCTTGAAATATTGAAATCAGCTCCGGGATTCCCTTTCCTTCCATGAGGAACACTCTGGTGACCTCAGAACACACAGCACAGAGACCTGAGACAGAAGCCATGTTCTCTTAGCTGGCAGGTTGCATCTGCTGGGGTCTCTGGTGGCAGCCACAAGGGCCTGAGTGGGGAGACACTGTGGATGCCCAGGGCACCCGTGAATCTTGGCCCTGGCGGTGCTCCCTGAGCAATGTCCACTGTGTTTATTCGCCTCAAGGTCCTGACACCCTGTCATTGAATTTCCAGATGAAACCAAGATATCCACCATCCCCGCAGTCTTCTTTGAAGGGGACACAGTGATACTAGAGTGTGAAAATGAGGTGCTGTCCTCCAACGTGTCCTGGATCTTCAACCTCTCCACGCTCCAGAACAGCAGCAGATACTCCATCTACACCACTGTGCAGCTGACCTCCGTGTCCCGGCTCACCATCACCAACTTCACCCGGGACGACGAGGGTGAGGAGGACTCCAGCGGCACTGGGGCAGGAGCAGATGGTGTCAGGCCATTCAGAAAGGGATGTCTTAGCTCAGAGCTTCACCATGGAAAACTCATTGTGTGGTTTTTGCCTTTAAATGCTTTTAAGATTGATTTTTATTTTGCACATAGCATTATGTTATTATTCATGTTTTCAATTAAATTTGAAACATTTGAAGTAGATTTGTTAAGCTGGAAGTGACGCGACAAGTCACACCTATCTCCAGTGTGGAGGTCACTAGGTTTGGACCTGGGTGCGCTCCTGAAGCCTTCCCCAAGGCCAAGACTGAACACGCCCACCCTGTCACCAGGGCTCCCTTCGCCCCTCCCCTCTGCAGTGCCTCCTTGTGCCTCTCCTCTGCCATTGTGCCCACCCCAGGCAGCTCCAGAAGCCTAAATCTTAAGTTAGAGACCTGTGATAGACCCAATGCCTTCTACAATTTAAGGACCCTGTTTTTAACCCAAAGTGTCTTCTCTTTCACGTACAAAGGACTGTGAACCTATGGCTCTCACCACATCTTGGTTGATTTCAACTTTATCACAAGGCTAAATAAGATCCCAAAACTATCCCTACTCTTTTGTTCTCCAAGTTACCTTTGTCCAATCCTACACCTGTTTCTCACTAGCAAAATCCCTGAGTGTGAGGCCATGAGAGCATTTGCACTTCCCTTCGGGGCTCCAGGAACCCGTGCATTGATCAAGCACCTCCTGAGTGACCCTTGGAGAAGCGGGGTCTCGCGGGCTGAGAGCAGGAGCTGTTTGGGGTACAGCCAAGTTACAGGGTGTGGGCGGCCAGCCTCCACAGCAATGGATACAGGCGTCCTCACAATGAACCATTCCTTGTATCCTCACAGGTGTCTACACTTGCAAACTGGTCATGGATATTTTTGAATTTGAGAATGAAAAATACATAAATATGACACCCATGCAGATTTTGGCAAATGACACGGTGGAAGTGAAGTGTGACGACAGTCCTGTGTCGCTGAGCTGCTGCAGTGAGAACAAAGTGAACTGGAGCACAATAGAGTGGAGCCCAGAAGGCAGCGTGAGCATCCCAGGTGCGTGTGCCCCGCACGCGCGTGAGCACAAAGGCCCAGCGGAAACGCGAGGTGGTGGGGGTTCAGATGGCCGCTTTCTTCCGATCTTCAAACCTTGAAAGGTCCACTTCAGATTAGCCGTTGCAGAACAAAGCTGCAAATGGGCAAGTTTGTAAGGGTCATGTTTGGTTATATAGACCCCAGAAGAGAAGCCGCCAGCAGGGGTCTGCCAGATGACGTGGGCCGTGCATCTCCCCCTTCCAGAAAAAAAAGGCGTGTTTCACTTTCCTGTCCTCTCTGTCCTTGGCCAAGAGCTAAGGATGCAAGCATTGGCTTTTGCATCACCTCTGACTTGAGTTTCTTTGTCATGTCTGTCTGTATGGTATCCACCCTCACACACACACTGCAGTCTTGTTCTTTGTCTCTGTCTCTCTCTGTCTCTGTCTCTCTCTCTTTCTCTGTTTCCTTTCCTTAACAGGAGGGCTGACCTGAAGTTCCCACCTGCCAGTGTACACTAATGTACGATGATAATAAGACGAAGCAGCAATGCTTACTATTTTCTGTGGCAGTTTATGATTAGCCCATTAATAAAAAGTGATCACTTTTGAATTACATTGAAAATCCATCACCCGTTTAAAGCTGGCATTTTTATCTTCAATATGAAAGTAAACAATTTGAGTTCACATTAAATGACTTAACCAAGTTGTCTTCGTATAAAAAGAAAATAATTAGGACTCACCATAACTCTTGTCTCACAAGTGGCCAGCACTGCTGCGGGCTGGCCTGGCCCATTGGATAAAAGAAGTTTGTTTTCTGCCTGGAAACCATGTAGGATCAATCAGATCTTTTCTCAAGAAACAACAGTGTCATGTGCTCATCTTTGAAGAAAAAAATGTGGCTTTGCCCATGCAATTCTTTTTTTTTTAAAAGCAGAGAAAAGGTACAAGTTATACAGATTTACAGAAAAAAATAAACAGTAGGAAATCACTAGTTTTGCCCATGCAATTCACTCATGTGTGAACCTTAATTTTACAAAGTCTGCACCCTTGGACTATATGGCTTTAAATATACCAAAAGATCAAATTTGCGCGCAAATTTTTCTGAGCACATCTATTCTGCAAAGCAGGTTCAGCTGCAGGGCATCTTAAAGACTTGAGAAAGATGGGAAAGACATAAGGTAACTTGAAAATATCATACCTGGGACATTCAGCCACTTCCCTGATTTTAAGGAAGAGGAGGTGTGGGCATCCTGCAGCCACTGCCAGATGGCAGAGAGATCTTGCATGGTTCCTGTGGTCTTGCCAGGGAAGCTTTCCAGGCCTGGAAGAGGCCCCCAGGAGAGGAACCAGGAAGCCTGTGCTGCAGTGCTCCGGACCTGCTCTGGGACCCCTCTGTGACATTCCTAATGCCCAGGTCCAGGGCAGGCTGAGTCCACTGCAGAACAATGGGTTTCCTGCCACAGGGCCCCTGCCTGGGGAGCTGGCTGTCAGTTGTCTACGATGAATTTAGCCTCTGCTCTGGCACCAGGCCCTTCTTCCTCCACCCCTTGGCAACCTCTCTCTCCTCAGCTCTTTCTCCTAATGTTGCAGTTGCTTTTAGCACCCAATTAGAGGAAGTACTCTAACAATTTGTCCCCCCAGGTATTTGAAGCTGAATCTGTGTCTTCTCATTTGCAAGGTATTCTGGAATGGGAGAAGACTCATAGGAATCAGCAAAAGGAGACTTTCCAAATTTGTTTTTGACAGCTCTGTTTTGTTTGTTTTCTAGTTTTTGGAGACACAGTCTCTGTGTAGTGAAGGCTAGGCTTAAACTCGAGATCCTTTTGTGTTAGGTTCCTGAATGCTTGGATTACAGCTGTTCACCACCTTGTCCAGCTGAGAATTTCTGTCTTTGTTAATCCGGGATGATGAGTGAAAAATCTCCCACTGCACTGAGGAACATAGAGAGACCTCTTGTTTTTTTTAATCGGTACTGGGGATTGAACTCACGACTGTGCGCTTGCAAGGCAGGCACTTAGTGCCACTGAGCTAAATCCCCAGCCTTCAAGAGACCTTTCTTAAGAGCCTCATAATTACCATAAAAGTTATTGTAGGGGCTGGGGATTTAGCTCAGTGGCATAAGCGCCTGCCTTACAAGCAGGCAGTTCTGAGTTCAACCCCTGGTACCGATAAAAACAAAAAAGACAAAAAAGAAAGTTATTGTGGCTGATTCAGTTACAAAGAGTAGTCAAAATTTACAGAGAATATTTACATTTTTAAAAATGTCTTGCTGTGACAGACACCTTGCCAAGAACAAGATAAATTTTCAAAGGGGACTTTAAAAAAAATATTTTGAAGGGGATTCTTGGCAATGTGTCTGTTACTGTTATAAAGTTTTGAAGTTGAGACATTTGCCATGTATCTTGATCCCTTCTGTGTTTTCAGTGTGTCCATTTAGCATCTTGGTTTTTCTCGTCCCTAAGAGAAAGCCTTAGGAGGTGGCTGCCAAAGCCGCCCTTCCTTAGCAGAGGTCTGGCACACTGGGTGCATGTGAGCGCAGGCTTGAGACTGTGTCACATCCCCTCCCCAGCGAGCACAGCACCACTCTTTAGCCCCTTCTGCCAGTGTCTGGTGCTGCTCATCCCGCAGCCCTGTGCCAGCTCAGGGTGCCCCCACCAGCACAACTCTGCTTGGTGACATATTTGTGGTCCCCGTGGAACCTGGTCTCCTCTCTGGTAACCGGATCCAGCCTCCTGGCATGCATGTGATCCCTGAGGGCTCACAGGCTGCGGCTTGGTGCCTTCGTTGGACAGCAGTTTTCAGACTTAACTACAAAATCCATTCTTCAACACAATCATCTGATGTCCTCTAACAGAGATTTTCTCATCCTGGGCACAGATGATGTTTGGGGCCAGAGTCTCCTTATCTGTGAGTTGTCCTGTCCACTGTGGGAAGCTTGGTGGCCACACTGGACTCTTCCCATCAATATCACTAGAACCCAGAGATGGGAGAGCCAAATGTGTTGCTTACCAACACCAAATGTGCTGTCAGGAGGCAGAATGCTCAGATTTTGGTGTGTGAAGGAGACCAGAATACAGTGACTCTAGTTTAAAACAGGTGAAAGATTGAGACCCCAACCCTGACCTAATGTGATGGAAATTTCTATAAGGAGTACCAGGTTATAGACACACGGCACCCACAGCCACACGCCAGAACTTTCCACTAAAACCCTACGTGCCTTTCAGGCCCATAAGCAAACTTCCTCTCATCTGAAATCCCTCTGTCTCCCAGCTGAAACATCCTTCCCTCTAATCTATGTAACAACGTATTGGTATTAAGCATGCTCTTGTGGAACCTCCCACTACACACCCTCATTACCTCTGTGCCTTTCTGTATGCATGCTCTCCTGCAAGGCCTGCTGTCCACATGTGAGCTGGTAGAAAAGCTGGCTCTTTAAGGATCAGCGTGCGTAGGCAGGAGGGTGGAAGGGGCCCCAGCAGGGCTGGCCAGGCTTGGAGGAGGAGGGACGCTGCAGATGTCATGAAGACTCAAGAGGGGACTCAGTTTTTGAGACAAAGATGTAGAATGAGACTGAGAGGAGAAGGTGTATTATAACCATATTGTGAATAAATGTTATACGCTATACTTAGGAGATTTCTCCTTTACTCTGTATCCAATGGTAAGATTTTAAAGGTAAAAGGAAAATAGACTCTCGTGTTGCATTTTTAGAAGAATCATACTCAGGCAGAATAAACAATAGATGGAAGGGCAAATGACTGAAGGTTCAGGCCCAGGTGGAATAGATTCCAGAGCTCAGAGCACTGACAGTGGGGTTTAGTTCGAGACCTCGTGCTAAGACAGCAATGTTTAAGCCATCGTTACCTCTGGGTAGAAGGACAATGTGAGGAAATGCACGTCACCAAAGGTGACTGTAAGGTTTCTAGTCTGGGATGCTGCCAACCACAAGGAGAGGAAACATAGGAGGATATGCAGGTTTTGTTCAGCGAAAGATAAATCGCATGTTGGATTGGAGGTGCCCAAGACATCAAATCAGTACTTGGACATTTGTTTCTGAAGTTTCCAGCAAGGACATTTCTCTTGGAAATTGTGTTTTATAATACTTCCATTCAGTCTAGTTAGTATCAATCCATTCTTTTTTTGTTTTATTTTAAAGAGAATTTTAAAAATAACAAAATGATACAGAATGTCAAAACAAGATGATAGGAAATTAACAATGGTTATTATGTCTCATATTGTTATCTTCAAAAACAGTTGCTCAGATTCATTCTTAAAGCATTATTTCTTCTCTCCCATTTCACCTTGTCCAGAAAATAATGTCACAGGAAGCTTTAATAACTTGATACTTTGTTAGTATTTAAAGTTACCGTGGTATAACGCTCATTCAGTCTTAAAAGTATCATTTTTAGATAGCTATACTACTGATCTCTATTAGTTCATCAAAAAAAAGTTTGTGCTTCATTGTACGATTGTCTGATCATTTTTATGCCTATATCTTGTAATCCGAACTTCCTTGAAGATAACAGTATACGATATATTAATCAGTGCTAATCTGTTATTTTGTTTTGAAATTCTGTACTATGGCTGTTATTCTTTTTTTAAAGTATCATTTTTCCTGTAAAGTATGATTCACCCGTAGTTGCAGTGGTTTTTACGTAGTCATTACGTAGTTGTGGGAAGTCATACAGACACAGAGCGGCTGTGGCGGAGATTGCTGGGGAAGGAGCGGAGGAACGTGAAGAAGAGGGCCAATGTCAGGAGCTAGATAGCCCAGGAGCACCCTGCTTGTGGAGGGAGCAGCAGGAAGGGAGCTGAAGGGAGGCATGGAGGGAGGATGAGGACAGAGAGAGGCAGGAGAGGCCTAGGGCTCCGGCAGCCAGATAAGAGGGTCCCTCCGTGGGAGCCGGGGAGAGGCCCTGGAAGTGGGGAGAGCAGGCCGCTGTGAGTCTTGAAGGGTGCTTTTGGTAGGGGGTGAAGAAGGCTAAAGCCAGACTTGAAAAGTTACATATACTGTGTTTTCTCTGACATAAAAGCCTAAAATATGAATAAATGAAGACATAAAGACGCAATGGTATGAGGCTGGTGGGTAGACTTGGAGACAGAGAAGGGATCGGGAGGGAGGAGAGGGAGGCGGAGGAACTGGACAGGATGGAGGTGCTGTATGCGTGGACCACTTCCCCAGGATGAACACCGCCAGGCTGTCTTTCACACGCTCACTGACCATAACAAAAGAAGGCCAAGGGCAAAGATGTGAGGAGGAGCAGTGGGAGTGAGGAATTAGAGGTCGTAGGCACTGGGGCCAGGTCGTTTTAGGAAGGGAAGGCTTGAGGGTACCTGTGGCCAAATGGAAGAGGAAGAGGAAAGTGGGGGCACAGGAAGGTGAAGGGTGATGAGAGGTCCCAGGGGGTTGAGGTAGTGCTTCTCACCTCCCAGGGGTGTGGGTTGCCTGCATCTGTGAGCCAGCAGACAGAAACTGGGTGATCTGAGCAGAGATTCGGGAGCTAGGAAGGAAAGCTGGCTCCTCATCAATCAAAATATTTCACAGAGCTGAAAAGGCTGACTTATTTTGGCATGAATCAAGAGGCTTATTCTTTCTTTCTTTTTTTCTTTCAGTTTTGCAAGATGGTGTTAGAAGAGTGTCTTAGGAAAGGACACTGGCAGGCAGAGTGCAAGGAGAGAGACTTGAGGGGTAGGAACAGGAAAAATCAGACACAGGGCAACCTAGAGCCCTAGGCAAGGGGCAGGATGTGCAGAGGTTTTGAAGTCTCTGGTAGTGGCAAGGAAGGAAAGGAAAGGAAGCGGTTTTGGGGGGCAAAACTGCTGCGTGACTGAAAAAACATGAACGCTTATACCAGGTCAGACTTGGTGTAAATCAGAGTCAGCCAGCAGCAGCAGTAAAGGAGTCGCTTCTGTGCTCGCAGGACACGAGGACCAGGACCTGGACTCCGGCTGCAGCAGGTACATCCTGCAGGCCAACAGGACCCAGTGCCCAGCGACGGTCACCTACACGTGCGAGTTTGTCAGCAGCCACGGAGCCAGGGGCAGCAAGGCCATAGAAGTGACATTCATCCCCGTGGGTAAGAGCTCAGTCCCTGAAGTGTTGGCTATGGCGATGCCACGCTCGTGAGGCAATGGGAATACCCTGGGCGGGTAAAGCTGGCTCTCCCTGAGAGAGGCCTGTGGTTAGAGCCAAACACACCCTGGGAGACAGGAGAGGTTTCCCTCTCTGCCGTTTAAATTGAGATGAAAGCTTTTAAATGGGGAAAGGTGGGACTGCGGAACCCCAGCTGTAGGGAGGATGGGCTGTACCCTCTTGTAAGGCAGAAGGGGGAGACGAGGAGGAGGAGGAGGAGGAGGAAGAGGAGGAGGAGGAGGAGAAGGAGGAGCAGGAGGAGGAGCAGGAGGAGGAGGAGTGTTTGTGGACTCAGATTTGTCCTGTCATCTGAGTGCATAAGAAAGCCCCAGGGGGTCCCATCCCCCCCTTCCCTCCTGAGGTCCATCAGCCTGCTTCCCTCCCCCATACTCAATTTCCTGTTCCCTCCTCTCCTGTTTCACCAGTTCCATGAATAATGCTGCAGAAAGCTTTAATAACTTGAAATTGTGTTACTATTTTAAAGGACAAAGAGTGTTTCTGACTGTCTCACTTCAGTCTAGTCGGGATCAGTTCCATCCTAAACAGATCATTTCTCCCACAAAGCATTGTAATTGCACCTGTAGCTGCAGATGTCTGCCTGCCTGTCTTGCAAAGATGTGCTTTGTGGATACACGATCAGCCCTGTTTTCAAAGCTTACAGAAAGGAAGCACCCATTACTCTGATTTGTGTTTTCTGCAGCTGTAAATTAGCATTTATACAACAGTCACAGCCTGGTTCCCGCAGGTACCTGTGATCCACACAGCTCTGAGATGCTCCAAACACTCATGTGTTTGTTTAGGGTAGTGCTGAGCTCAGATCCATCTGATCTTTACCCAGGTTCCTCTTTGTCACCTATTCCTATCTGCAAACCCACATGCTTAGGGATACGTTTATGCCTTGCTGAAAAACAGCCTACCTGGAAGTGTTAGATACCAGAAAGCCAGACTGGGAGTCCACGAGCCTTTTCATTCTTCCCTCAGAAACAGCACAGCCCTAAGGAGCAGTCTGTGGATCCCACGGACTGTGAGAGCCACATTACACCAGGCATGGTTGGCTTTGAGCTGGATCCGAACACTTGAACCCCAGCCGCTAAAGGCTGTGATGAAAACCCGATTCGCTTGATTATGATTGAAAATAAGATTTTACCCTGGAAAGGCAGCCCAGTGCAGGGGGGCTCCAGGCATGGAGCTCTCCTCCTGTAGAAGAGGAAAGCGGGTGGCATTCCCGTAAGTCGCCCATGTGGAGATGAGCTCCAACAGAGGGGGAAAGATAGCAAGCTGTATTATATACAGTGAATCCCCAAAATGTGGGACTAGGGGGTGAGGGAGGGGCTCCCAGGAGGAGGAGGAAGTGAAAATGATCAAAGTATGTAGTGGGCAGGAACAAATCTGCCCAAATGAAAGCCATCAATCTGTGTCACAAATTTAAAGAGTCAAAACAAGGTAGCGCACAGGCCAAAATACTTTTTGTGTTTGTAATGGTCTCTGAATATTTTAGATGAAAATTTCTCATGAATCTGAGGAACTTTTCAGAAGGAACAGGAAACACAGCTAATGATAAATGTATAATTTGCATTAGGTAATTATACAGAGTTAATATTAAGGTCTATATGTCTGTACGTCCTAGTTTGCTCAAGATAACACAAATTTAGTGATCCAAGCACTAAACTTTATGGTCTCCTAACTGAAACTGTGGTTCCAGGATTCACTCTGGCTTATTAAGCCCTGACAGAATTGGCAGGGGACATAGAGACACGGAGCAAAAGTCTCACCTCAGAGGGCTCCCAGCTTTACAGAGAGATGCTGAAGTTGAGTGGGATGGTGGGAAAGCGGTCCAAGGGAGGACAAAAGAAATGGTTCCAAGAACCTAGCCTGATCCTCCCAGAGGCACCGCCGGAGGTTGGAGGGGATCTGGGGGTGAAGCCGACACCCCTAATGTGCGCCTTTCACCCTGCTGACCATCAGGAGATAATTCCACCCACAAAGGGGAAATGCACGAGCTCTCGAGGCACACGACGGAAGGCAATACAGTTCAAAGTGCCACCAGCAGCAGCCTAGCAACCCAGGAATCCCGGGAGCAGCCAGGTACCCTCTTGAGACACACGCCGGAAGGGAGTACAGTTCAAAGTGCCACCAGCAGCAGCCTAGCAACCCAGAAATCCCGGGAGCAGCCAGGTACCAACCCCGCGCTGACATAGTGCAGTTACCACGCCCTGTGTGCTGTCTCTCTCCTAAGTTCTGCTCGGGTCGATGTCACTAGAAAGACGAAACAGTGGACTTGTGGTCAGCTTTGTTTTGTTTGTCTCGTTCTTTCAGCCAAACTGACAATAATTCCAGACCGAGTTTCTGTTTCTGAGGGACAAAACTTTTCTATAAAATGCACCAGCAATGTTCACAGCTATGATGAAGTGTATTGGAGCACTTCTGCTGGAATTAAGATACATAAAAGGTTCTACGCCACAAGGCAGCATCCTTACGGAACTGAGTCGGTGCTGACAGTGGAGACGGTGACCAGGGAGTGGAATGGTGAGTGCTTGGCCGCACCAGATCATGGGAAGCTGGAAGGGACAGATGCCAGCCTGGGTCTGCCGTGGGTGCTCATCCTGGTCTCTCACAGTGGATGTAGCAGGCTTTGGGGACAATGATGCTGTCCCATCCTGCAGATAGGGAAGCAGAGGCTCTGTAGGAATATCACTCACCCACCTCAAGCCACACTGCCAGGATTAGAGCAGATATCTCCACCACCAGAGCCCAAGCTCTTGCCATTGCATAAAGAGGTCTGCTCCTCTTGACACTGGACACTGGAGAACATTGCTTAGAGGTGGAAAAGAGGGGTTCACAACACCACAGTGCTCATCAGGGTGACAGCTCTCTTCAAAACTCACCATTCCTGCATGCATAGAAATTTTCACTCATTCCCTGGGTTCGTGGAAGAGCCCTGGAGTCGAAACTGAGAGAACAATTTGAAATTCTCTTCTAGTCCTGAATTGGTGTCAGCTGCTTGTTTTTACTTGCGCCTAAGTGCATGCATAGGGGTCAACACTTAGTATGTCAGGGAGGTGGAGAACCAGGAGGGAGACTGATCAGGCATGTGTCTAGAAAGGATGCCTGTGTCTAGAAAGGATGTGGAGTCCTTTCCCAGGGTGGACAGGGAAAGCTGAGCTCCTTTTGGCCTTTCCAGAAATTACTTCTCTTTATCTCCTGTGTCTTCCTCCTGCTCAGGAACATACCGCTGCGTATTCAGATACAAGAACACATACCACGAGGCCACCAAAGATGTCACTGTTCACCCGCTGCCTCTGGAGCCAAACATCATGGTTGATCCTTTGGAAGCCAGCGGTTTGTGCACGGATTCTCATCACTTCAGGTGCTGTGTAGAGGAGGACGAGGACTACAAAGTAATGTTCCAAATGGAATCTTTCTTCTTTCCTGCTGGTGAGACATGGACCACCAACCTTGTGGGTAGAGAGACTGTCAGAGGCAGGATTTGACAGAAAAGATCCCATGAGATTTCATTATTTTTCTCTGTAATTTGAGGCAACATCGACCAAGCCTGATAGGTTGGGTCTGTCCTTTGTAGTGAGGGCTGTTGAAGGCAGTATTGAGACACTGTCATGGGAATCTCCCTCTGGGCAGTCTGATAGCCTCTTTCTAAGCTTCGGGAGAGACATCAGGACTGGAGATGGAGCTCATGACGAACACTGCCTAGGACCCAGGGCACTCTGTGTTCTATCTCCAGAACCAGGGAAAGCAAACAACTGTTCAATGCATCATTGAACGTGGAAGAAAGTAAGAGAAATAACCAAGCACCAGAGTCATAGAGGAAAAGAAAATGGAAATTATGCTTTAGAATCAGTTGGCTCGGGGAGAAGGGGTTGAGGCCCAGTGGTGGAGTTCTTGCTTTGCCCGCACAAGGCTCTGGGTTCAATCCCCAGCACCACACACCAAAAAAAGAATAGAATAAAGCTGGAGGGCCCCATAGGCACTTGCCAATATCAGATTCCCAGAGCCTTTCGGGGAGGGGTATAAAAGAAAACCTCTAGCTCTCTCAGCAGCAGGTGAGGCACCCCAAGGCATAATGTCAGGTCCTTTTGGGGGCAATGCACTCAGCAAAAGAGGAGGCCAGCAGACAGAATCCATCTGCCAGGGTGAAGGGCTTGGCCTCTTGTTGGTGATGAGAATTCTGTCTCAGGCCCTGAACATTGACTATATAGGCGGTTTATTCCTCCAGGCTGAAGAACACACAGCATAAAGCTGTCCCTTTGTTAGTGCCCTGTGTCATCTCCCTTAGGGTCCCCTCTCCAAATGCACATCCTCTGTGGTAGAATAAATTCTCAATGCAGGTCCCTCAGGATGAAAATGAGCTAAAGTTGAGCTCACACATCCAACTTTTTCAGTAACTTGAGGATTTGCTCAAGGCAAGACATCATAATAGGCAATGAACAGAAGAGAAAAGAACGCAGGCCCATATTTCAATATGTAGAGAGGCCTACATCATGGATGGCCACACACACAGCAGTGAATATTGGAGATGAGCCCTAGGGGTTGGAAGAACAGTGCCCGTGCAGAAAAGCAGGACTCCAGGAAAGCCTGGAGCGGTTAGAGATGACTGCACAGAGGGAGACAATGGAGTGAACCTAGGGACTGAGACATGCAAGTGTCTGGGTAGCTGTGGTCAAGGTGCAGATAAGCAGAGCTTCTCAGGTGGCTGAGCCCTGGGGGATGCAAAGATAGAGAGGAGCAGGTTGTTCTCTGTAGGAGGCGTGGGCCAGCAGTGAGGAAAGCCCCACAAAGAGGTGATTATAAACCAGCACGGCGAAGGTGGGATGGGATGAAGGAAGTGTGCAGGGCATGATGGGCTTTATGTGGATGCAGGGTTCTGCACCCCGCCAGAAGATGTTTTCACAGCAATATGTGAGACACATTCATGGAAACGCTTAGATAGGCTTATTCAGGTTGGATCCTGCTGACAAAAACCTGTGCTTTGGACACTCATGTCTTTTTTGTGTGTGTCTTTTTCCTTTTTATCGGTACTGGGGATCGAACTCACAACTCTCATGTCTTGACTTTCTCTATCTTCAGCCAAAGAAGTGAAGGGAAAGCAAGTGTGCTACAAGTACAGCTCCACGGCGAAGTCCGTTTCCCAGTGTCCCAAAAACCTCGACGTGTTCTGCCACTTTACAAACGCTGCCAACACTTCAGTCCGCAGCTCTCCGATGAAGCTCACACTGGTTCCCGGTAAGCGTGTTTTAAAACTGTGACTCACTCACATATTCATTCTCTGGAGACCAGAGCGAGGCACTGAAGGACTAAGTCCCATTGGGACAGGAGGCAGAGATTGTGGGAGCAACTGTGAGGTGATAGCAAAGAGGGCCATTGGGAAGCCATGAGCAGTGACCAGGAAATGAGTGACCTCACAAGCTCACTGACAGTAAAGAGAAAAAGGAGCCCAATCTCAGTCCACCCCAGCCTGGCTCTGTCTCCCCCATCAATGGTACCTTGTATTTCCATTTTCCATTGCAGGGGAGAACATCACGTGCAGAGACCCTGCCATCGGAGTGGGGGAGCCTGGGAAAGTCATCCAGAAGTTGTGCCGGTTCTCGGACATTCCCGGGAGCCCTAACAGCGACACTGGTGGGACTGTCACTTACAAATGTGTGGGCTCCCGGTGGAAGGAGGAGAGGAAAGGCTGCATCTCTGCTCCCATCAATGGTCTGCTCCGGCTGGCAGAGGTGAGCCTTGCTAGCCACGCTCTCCGGCTGGGTAGATTTCTCGCCCCTGGGAACATGGGTCAGGGCTGCTTGGTGTTATCCAGAAGCTGCTTTTGTGTGCCTATTTCCAAAGGAGATGTGAGCCTAATAATGTTTAAAGCCAATCAATCACACAAACAGGTGCTCTGTTGCAAGGCCAGCTGGGATCTTAACCTGGAGTTCTCAGCCCCCCGGCCCAGTGCTGCCAGGGCCAGTGTGTTACCCTCCCTCTAAGCAATCTCCATTGAATGATTTTTATTGTCAAACAGCTGTAATGTTTTGAGAAAGACAAGTGATATAAAAATACAGTTCAATTAAGAAGCAGCTGAGCTTCACGTTTTTACAGGTCTGGGGTTTCTTCAATCCTAGTTGACAACCTCTATTTCTAAAGGGCTACTCTGCCTTAGCTAGGAGCCAGGTAGCTGCTGTGTATCAGAAGAAATTCCTTTCTTCTGATCAAAATAAATAACCAGTTCTTCTGCCTTTGATGTATTGTGCATTAGAGACTCCCACAACTGCATGAACTTCGAACAATAAGTAGCTGTGCTTACAACTAGTGGAGTTGTATAGAATGGTGGTATCTTTAGATAGCCAGTTTTGATTATCTTACCACTAGAAAAAGGAAAAGCTAAGAAATATGGGTAAATGTTGACTTGTGTGTTAGCAAATTGTCTTCTTTGTCTCTACTTGCATTAAATGAGCCAAATGCATTAAAATATCCACTGAGTGTAAAGCGTAATTATAGATGCTGGAAAAGGAAAGAGATCAAGTCATATCAGCCCCTGATTGATAAATAATAGAAACGACTTGCTTATTCACTACTGGAAACCTTAGCATTTGTGTTAGACCTTCATGTGTTAGACCTCCTGCACCTGTGACCACCTGACATCCTCAACAGAGCACCTGTTTGTCTGATTGATTGGCTTTAAACATAAGAGATTCAAATTATCCTAAGTGAGGAAGAGAGAAATCGTTATTTGGAGCTTGAGCTATGAGAGATGTTGTAGGAAGAGTTCCGGAGGACTTGTGCGTTGGAAGATTCACATGTTTTTCCTTGGTTTTGGTTTTGGTTTTGCTAGGCTTTGATCAAGAGCCCCTCTCCGGACCAGAATCTCCCCACGTACCTGAAGAATCTTTCCGTCAGCACAGGCAGCGAGGAGCAAGAGATTCGATCGTCCCCTGGGAGCCTGGGTGCCATCATCAACATCCTTGACTTGCTCTCAACAGTTTCATCCCACGTGAATCCAGAGATGATGAAGGTGAGGCTGGACTTTGGGGCTCACCCCTTCAGCCCTCAGGACTGAGTGAGAATCTGGGTCTTAGAGCCTGCCAGCTACACCTTTGAGAGTACCTTAAGGTGTTTCCAGAATTCATTTTGGGGCCTTCGGAGGATTTCTTTAGTAAATCTCTGCTTTTGTTTAAAGTATTACTATTCAAATAGAATGAATTTCTATAAGTTTTCCAGGAAAGCTCAGAATGAAAGGTTTTCAGAAGATTTACAAAGTAGGATTCAAGGCATGACAGGGTCTTTTGAAACTTTCTTGCTGTGACTTTCCAGGCACCAAAAGCCTCTGCAGAATGGAGAGCTCAGATAAAACCAAACAAAATGATGACTCTGTCTGTCAGCCTGCTGAACTGGCCTGAGCCAGGGTGGGAGGGGGATCTCTTGGTCACCAAGTGCTCTGTGAAGCGTCACTGTCACGGTCCAGAGCTGCTCCTCTGCCAATTTTTCCTGGTCTCTCCGCTTGCTTGCACCTGGCCACCCAGCTTCCAGGAAGAGGTTATTTTTGTGGGTTTTGGGGGTTGAAAGGATTTTGTGGGTGTCTCACTTATAGGACGTGCTGGCCACTGTGAACATCATCCTGGGCAAGTCCGTCCTGAAGACCTGGGAGGCCCTGCAGCAGAACCAGACCAGCCAGAGCTCACAGCTGCTGCATTCGGTGGAGCGGTTTTCCAAAGCCCTGCAGCCAGGAGACAGCACCTTTGCCTTCCTCCGCCACCCCAATGTGCAGATGGGGAGCATGGCCGTCAGACCCGGAAATGCCCACATCTACCAGCAGAACTTCCACTTCCCAAATGCCGACCTCTGGGGCAATGTGACCATCGGAAAGCATCAGCTGGGAAACCTGAACCCAGAGGCATTGGTTGTCACCATGGCTTTCCCAACTCTGAAAGCTATCCTTGCACTGGATGCTCAGAAAAAGCCTTTTGCAAACAGTTTAGTGATGACCACCACGGTCAGCCACGACATCACCCCGCCCTTCGATATCTCCATGACTTTCAAAAACAACCACGGGGCAGGAGGGCAGATAATGTGCGTCTTCTGGAACTTCAGCCTCTCCAACCACACCGGAGGCTGGGACAGCCGCGGGTGCCGTGTAAACAGCGTCGACAGGGACAGTGTCTCCTGCACCTGTGACCACCTGACATCCTTCTCTATCCTCATGTCCCCGGATTCCCCGGACCGGGGTTCCCTTCTGGAAATCCTGCTGGATATCATTTCCTATATCGGGCTAGGCTTCTCCATCCTGAGTTTAGCGGCCTGCCTCGTTGTGGAAGCCCTGGTGTGGAAATCAGTGACCAAGAACCGGACATCCTACACGCGCCACGTCTGCATCGTGAACATCGCCGCCTCGCTGCTGTTTGCAGACGCCTGGTTCATCGTGGCGGCCGCCATCCAGGAGCACCACTACCTGCTCAACGACACAGCCTGCGTGTCTGCCACCTTCTTCATCCACTTCTTCTACCTCAGCGTGTTCTTCTGGATGCTGACGCTGGGTCTCATGCTCTTCTATCGTTTGGTTTTCATCCTGCACGATGCAAGCAAGTCCATGCAAAAAGCCGTCGCCTTCTCTCTTGGGTACGGCTGCCCCTTGGTCATCTCGGTCATCACGGTGGCGGCCACCCAGCCACGGGAGGTCTACACGAGGAAGAACGCCTGCTGGCTCAACTGGGATGACACCAAGGCCCTGCTGGCTTTTGTCATCCCCGCGCTGATTATTGTCGTGGTGAACATGACTATCACCGTCGTGGTCATCACCAAGATCCTGAGACCGTCCATCGGGGACAAGCCCAACAAGCAGGAGAAGAACAGCTTGTTTCAGATCAGCAAGAGCATCGGGGTCCTCACCCCACTCCTGGGGCTCACTTGGGGTTTCGGTCTAGCCACCGTGTTCCAGGGGAGCAGTGCGGTGTTCCATATCATCTTTACCTTGCTCAATGCCTTCCAGGTGAGTTCTATTGCCAGGGGCCCTGGGGATGTTCCAGTTCCATGGGGCAGATGAATGATGGAGACATAAGCAGGCTTAGGAATGGAAAGCATCCCACAGGGAGGAGGCCTCAGCTCCACTGAGCAATGCTGCAGAGCTGAGAGCGGAAGGCAGGCACATTCCTCTGCTCCCAGGGATCTGCAACCTCTTGTCACCTGCATCATAACTTAGCAGCAATGTGCCAGACTCTTCCAGATGCCCTGATAATACAGGCAGGAGGGGAGTTACTTCCCTCAGGTACATGCTACTCATCCAGCACCATCTTGGTGTAGCCTGTTATCTCCAAAGGGAAAAGAAAACAGCATTACTAAGCCAAATGCTATCTCCAGGACCTCCAAGATGGCTCAGTGACTTCTGTCTTTGTGAAGACACTCTTACTGTTCAGCAGTGTCCTTAGTGAGTGGTGAAGACATCTGCCCACAGCCGGGTCCTCTGCAGTAAAAGATGCTGGGTACCACATGGTTTCTATGGAAACAGTTGTTAAGGGTGAAACAGTGGATGTCTAGGAGTGCCGGGCAGTCTGCTTGATAATTACATAAAACACAGACTTGTCTCTGCTCCACTGTAGGAGGTAGCTTGTGACAGTGCAGGCCACTGTACTAGAAGGGCTGTAACACAGGTGTGCACAGCAAGAGGGGTCTCAAGGTAGGAAAACTTTGCCCAAGTTTGCAAACTTTTGGGAACCATGAGGAGGCAGCAGGTCGGGGAGTGGGGAATTGAGGGATTGCTTCCTAGATGATTGTGACACAACCCTGCAAACCCTAAATCCTGCTTCTGAACCAGTAGCTCCAAGCTCTATGGTTCTTATTTAATGATCTTCGAGCTGTGCCTTCATTAGAAAGAACCAATTACCTTACTCCAAGCCCCAGGTTCCCTGCAGAATGAGCCGGGAATAATGTGGACATGAGTGATATTTAATAGCATAACCAGCAGGGTAAACCAGTGCTACCTAAAAGAAACTATAAATCTCCTGATATACTGCTGGGCCCTTAGTATGGACCTGTGACTTATCCTATAAACTCAGATGGGCAAAAAGCAGGATGAATTCACCATCAGGTAATAATACATCTTTTTTCACTGGACAGTGGAATATGATTAAACCTCGTTTCTTCTTAACTCTTTCCCCAGGGACTATTCATTCTACTTTTTGGCTGCCTCTGGGATCAGAAGGTAAGAACACCAATGGATGGTTCTGTGAGTCTGGAAAATGCAGCTTGGAAGTACCCATGGTGCTTTGAATTTACCTGGCTTCTTTTAAACCGTACAGGTGCAGGAAGCCTTGCTGAACAAGTTCCTGCTGTCCAGACGATCTTCCCAGCACTCCAAGGTAACCACTCTCCCTGAGGGCTTTCTCACAGCCTTGTGTTTCGGGCTAGTGGGAGGAAGTACAGTACTTTTTACCTTGGGACACTTATCAGTGGGGTTAAACACAAACCCCTCTGCTTATGTACCTTGCTGTGGCATAGATGCTTGAGTGGTTTTTGCTTCTCTTAAACACAACCACTGAGCTATCATTAAGATGCCGCCCCACATTTTACGTAAGCATTTAAATGACAGAGAAGCTAAACAGTGACCAAACCTCCATCTCCTATCCTAATAGCACATCAGCTGTGACACCCCTATAATCCAATAATCTTTGAAAAACCCAGCCTACTGGGCACACGAGGCTGTGGGGGAACATCTAGATATAAACCGTAACAACTATTGCCCTTGAATATATTGACCTACCTTTTGCATGTCAGGAAATCCTAGGAAAACCTACCGAACAATAAAATATATATTTGAGTTGGCAGAACTTGTGCTCCGGATGCACAAGGCACTGGTTCAATGCCTTGTGATAATAAAAGAAAAAGGGAGAAGAGGAGAGAAAAGAGGAGGATGGAGAGAAAGGAAACTCGTATTTTGAAAGCTATTTTGAGGGGTAGGGTTAGAAATGCAGGTAGGTAACCGCTAGAGGGCAGCAGAGCGCGCCTCCTGCAGCCCTATCTTCTGCCTCTCTTCTAGTCTACGTCCTTGGGTTCCACCACTCCCGTGTTCTCCATGAGCTCCCCGATATCGAGAAGATTTAACAACCTTTTCGGTAAAACAGGTACGTAGTGACTTCTAGATGCTCTCCGATTGGTCCAGACAGGAGCTGGGACACCCTCTTCATCCACATCCCAACACATCATGGGCTTTACCTGAAAGGACCTTGTTTAGGGCGGAAGTGAAATAAGAAAACTCACATTTTTGCAAGTCACCGGAAGGATGATTCAGAGGGCAGCCGCCTTTGATGGATAATTAATAATCAGTCATGAAGAGCAGGATCAGGGACGTCTTCCTCCCTCCTGGGCAAAGGGACAGGCCATGCCTCTGTGACCACGCTTAGAAAATCCTACTACAGGGCTCTACTGAGGGTTTCCTTCCTTTCTCTCTCTCTCTCTTTTTTTTTTTTTTTGGTGGAATCTATTTTTTTTTTTTACACATTGGCATGTATTTTAAAAACTTCCATGCCAAGAATCCCCCAATGAGCTATTCTATTAGAAATATAGTTGCTATTGAAGACAGGAAGTAGATAGAATTAATGACCTCAGGCAGTGAGTGGGTCTCAGCCACTCGGCTAGTCGGAGTCCCTGTTCCATGCTACTGTCCCCCATGAGAAAGTAATTCCTGAAACTCTTTCCAGCTTTTTGAGACAGAACAAATTTTAATACTCCAGACCAAGGCTTTTCACAGGAAGGCAAATTTTGAGATTACTAAACCTGGCATGTCTAAACCTCCAGAGATCTTTGTGTTTCTTGAGTTACTCATCCAATTGGTGAACTTTCTTTCTCCTTGTGATAGTCAATGATTCAGCCTGTTGGGAAATGATCAGGGCATATTAGAAGCACTGCCTGCTGCCAGCCCTGTCCACTGAATGCCTCTGCATTTGTGAGGAAGTTGGCAGAGTGAAAACTCCATAAGATAATTCCATGGAATCAGAAATATGTTATAATACATAGGGCCAGTGGCATGCTCTCCTTGTTTCTGAATTAGATAAAATTTGGGGTGCAAGCTTTATCCTAGGGTGCCAGGGTCTGAGGTGCCCAGTCACTGCCTCTGGATGGTCTCTTGGGAGTCATCACTGCACCCCACATTGGCCTGGGGAGGTCCATAATCACTGTGATTTTGGTTTATGTTGGCAGCAGCCCCAAAGGTCCCCCCAGACAGTGACAGAGACCTTGTTAGCAGTGGCAGCTCAGCAGTGTGATGGTAGGGTGGGCTCTCACTCTCCCCATGCTCCCACACACTCCCCTCCCCTGCACCATCACGCCACTGCCCACTGGCCTTGCAGCTCTCAACCTGCCCTCCCCGAGGCCTGGCTCTGCCCTGTCTGTTGCTGTCCACGTCTTCTGCTTCTCTCTGGTCTTCTTTCCTTGCCCCGTGATTTTCTTTTTGTTCTTTTCCTGCCTTTCTAAATCTCTGCCTCCAGTTCTGTCCTGAGAGCATCCTGGTGTTTCCTGACCAGGATCCAGGCAGTGCATGTGGTGGCATGGGGAGAGGTGCTGCCCATCTGGAGGTCTCCTGGCTGCGGGGCCAGGAGAGGACAAGCGCTTGCCAGCTGCCAGCTTGCTCAGAGCAACACACCTGTGCCAGGTGTTCTCTGGCTTCTGGGTAGGGGGGAGGAGGGAGGTGCAGCTTGAGTCCCAGGCATGGCGAGCTCACAGGGCCCTGGACCCAGCTCCCTTGGCCCCAGGGGCATTCACACAGCAATCCACACTCGCTCTTCTGTGAGCCTTAGGGGCTGCCCTGTTTTTTCAGGAACATACAATGTGTCCACTCCAGAAACAACCAGCTCATCAGTGGAAAACTCGTCCAGTGCTTATTCACTGCTCCGCTAAGCACTGAGAACTGCAGCCACGTGGCCTCTTGGAGACAGGGGACACCTCTGAGAAGAGCCCCGGGCAGAGCCCCGGGATGCTCTCTGCAGGTGCCTGGGGCAGACGCTGAAGAGACTTTTTCACCAAGACAATTTCTTCTGTAAAGACAGAGGGAAAGGCATTGTCATGTCTGCTTCTGCTCCCTACCCACCCCTCCTGGGACGCACAGTGTGTATAGTATTTAAGGGAACCGTCAGGCCCAGCTTCTGTCTATACTGTAATATAGAGTTCTAAAGAGACATTTTCAGTACTTCCCATTGGCAACAAAGATAAGCTTTGATTAAAATAATAAGTAAAAATCTAGCGCCTAGGAAATACTTCAGTGAAGGAGGGGAGGGAGGAAGGGTCGGGAGTAGAGAAGGAAGGGCAGAAAGAAGGAAAGGAAAGAAGGGAAAGAAAGAAGAAAAAGGGAGGAAGGACAAGAGGAAGGGGAGGAAGGAGGGAAGGAAGGAGAAGAAAGGAAAAAATGGAAAGGAAAAAGAATAAAGAAAAGCCACACTGAGGACTGTGTTTTAAGATTTTCATGCTAATTATCTAATATAATTGCTCAGAAACTACAACACTGAGAGTAGAAAAAATGCCTCCCAAATGACTCTCACTGAAAGTAAGCCATGAGGGAATGAGTTCCTAATAGTTCCTAACTAAGAAGAAGGAAGAGGAGGAGGAGGATGAGGACCAGGAGGAGGATGAGGAGAAAGAGGAAGACGAGGAGGAGGAGGATGAGGATGAGGAGGAAGAGGAGGATGAGGAGGAGGAGGACAAGGAGGAGGAGGAGAAGAAGAAGAGGAAGAAGAAGAAGGAGAAGAAGGAAAAAAGACTGGAAAAATAGAGGAAAGCACACCCTTGAATGGATAATATTTAACAGTGACACCCCAAGGACATGTGATTCCTTAGCACCAGTCAAACTTTGGGGCCCTGCTCACAGAGACCTGATCCAGGGGACTGAGCAGAGATGGTGCTTCTGTGCTGAGTCCCCAGTGACCCCGCCATGATTGACATCTTTACAGTGCATCCAAATAAGCCTCATGTTTTATTCTGGTCTATGTTTTGAAAACAAAATGTTATGTATTTTTATGCCCAGAAATTGACAAATTTGACACAGCATCCTGAAGACAGTCTCCGCCTGGCTGGCACAGCACAGCTCTCGGAGAACCTCATACCGTGTCCACTGCTGTGGCTGTTACGTCACTGTGCATATGATGGTCCTGGGTGTGCTGTGTAGCCTGTTGTGAACATTTCTCTCTGACTTCACGTCCCCAGGCCATTACACTTTAAGAATTCTATGACGTCTAACTCGTGTCTATTACAACCACCAGGAAAGCTACCGGGGGAAAGTCACAGTGGCTGAGCCTGCTCCTAATGGCACTTTGCTCTGATGAGCAAACGGCAGAACTTTTCCCAGGTATTTGATTGCAATTTGTGTTTGTGTGAGGTTGTTTGTACAGCTGCGTTTCATAAAAACAAACACAAACATGCACCGAGACTGGATCTACAGAATGAAGTGCAGGCTGTAGGTGCTGCCGTCATGGATTCCAATCCTGACTCTGCTCCCAAGGGTTGGTAACAATAAAAACACAGGCACCCAGGAGACATGGGCCATGTGGGCTCCTGGAGCGGGGAGAACATGCATGGGCCCCTGAGACAGGACTTGGGATGAAAGAGGCTGAGATCCAACCATCACCTCTGAACTTAGTTTCAGGATGCCTTAACATCTAAACCCATTCAAATCCCTTCACTTTCTAAATTTTAAACTCTGCTTCTGTGTTCTTCTCTGTGGAGGAGAGGAAGGGGCAGAGGTGGGACAGACACACATCCCAGTGGTGCTTAAAGGCAGTGGCCTCTGTTTCCACAGACTCACAAATGCTGTTGACGTCTACTCCCTTATTTCCTGAGAGTTGACCCAACTGAATGGCTCACACATGAAGTCCCTAGAGGATCGATCTATGGGTTGTAAATGCAGGTGACTTCTCTGGGGAAGAGCCAGCCCCATGCAGAGCTCAGTGCAGGAGAGGCAGGAATGAGGTGAAACCGGGGCCACTTGCATTAGAATTGGTTTCCAGGGAAAGATCCACATGGACTGACTTGGTTCCCATGTCCCAGAGAAGGTCACTGAGCCAGGGCTAGTGTACAGTGCTCACTGGGCCATCTCAACATCCAAGGATACACAGCACCTGCAGGTGGATGTGGCTGTCCTGAAAAAAGTGCAAGAGGACAAGAAGCATAGCATGGTGGCCCACACGTGCAGAGATCCCTTAGGAGCTGTGTTTGATCTTGTGGCAGGAACACGTTCACAGTAGGAGCTTCGGTGTACTTTTACAGGAAACAGGCCAGGTCCTCTGCCCATTCATTAGCACAGACATGTTCCCTGTCCCTCAGCACATATGCACACATGTGTGCACAGATGTGTGTGTACAACATTCACACATAAACTCACAGAGGCTCACTTGCACATACATGTGCACACACATGCAAGCACCCATATACATGCACACACAAACTCAGGAACACACACATATGCAAATCCACAGAAGCACATATGCACACCTGCTCACATGGATGCACACACACAGGGGCAAGCATACATGTCTACCTTTCAAACTGCCACACTGGATTCCTATTGCAGGAAAATTATGAAGACAAAACACGGAAGAAGGGCCAGCCAGTTTTGTTCACTGCACCACGCATAGCTCACCTGAAAGCTCTCCCTAGAATATCCCGAAACAAGTGTCAGAACTCAGAACCCTCAACCCACTTCTGACAGTAGCCTGCAGCAGAATCCAAGAGTGACCTTGACAGTGTTTCTCTGGCCCCACAGCTGGTTAGTGCTCCCCTCCCTCCTCCATCCTGCCAGCCAGCCTCACGCCAGGAGCTGTGGGAAGAGGTGTTTCATTTGGATTACAATCCTACATTTATTTGCTGGGTTTTTTTCCTGAACTATGGGCATTTTCTGAGGCCCTAGTTACTGTCTCACAGCTGTCCTTGGTAAAGCACCCCACAGGAGCCTCCAGCTGGACCCAGGAGACAGTCAGCTCTGTCCCCAGCTGCACACCTGCCTCTCCTGAGGCTTGGTCGCCACCTGGTGGACCCTGGCCACCAGCTTTCCTACCTGCAGAGTCATAAAATTGTAGGTTCTGGTCTGATGGGATCCGCTTTCAAGCGGGAGACCCAGGCCCAAACAGAGTCCTAGCCTAAGGTTCCACCCCAAAGTCAGCTCCGGGCTGGCTACGATAGTCTCCTCATGGCTATTTTGAAAAGTCTAATCCATCAATGCAAAGGTTATTTCTAGGATTCTTTATGCTAATATCAAGCCTTCTGGTGTGATTGGCAGTGGTAATATTTAAGGTTTGCCACAGATATTTCTCAGACTTTTGGCTACAATCTTTTGACTACTTATTAAAGATTCTGGGAGTGTGTGGATGACAGGAAAGATCTCATGTAGGTAAGATGATCCAATGCTAAGGCAGGTCTTCAGTTCTTTTATTAAAATTTTTTACTTTGAGAGAAGATCTCACCAAACTAAATTGCCCAGGCTGGTCTGGAACTTGTGATCCTCTTGCCTCAAAGTGCTAGGTTTATGGGTGTGCCACTACATTTAGCTATTATATATTTTTAAAATCCTTTCCTTAGAATCAGAGAAAGAGAAAAAGACTGCAAATCTCAGTTTCCCACAGGAATGTTCACTTGAAATCTTTTAAAAAGATATTGAAAGGGTCATAGCACCGTTTTGTCTAATGAAAATTGAACCTCTGCTTAATACACCCACAAATGGATTTTCCTTCTACATTCCTGATCCCAAACAGAAATAGGAGAGGCTCTTTATCTGGGTTATTCATTCATTTATTGGTTCATTCATTCACCATCCACTGAGTAGATGCCCACCATGTACCACTGGGCACACTCTGGGCACAGGGCAGCACGGTGAAGGTTACAAGTCCCTGCTTTCTGGAGCTCATAGCTACAACAAAGGTGATCATGGGGCATGCACACTGTCACAAGACATCCCAGGTGCATTAGAAACACATGACATGGCAACAGGACCACGCGGAGGCAGGAAAACAAAAGGAGGCGTGGTCTCTGGAGTCCATCTGAAGTAAGCCTGCTGGAAACTACTCAGAGGCTCCCAGACTGCAGGGAGGGAAGGTCGGAGTGGAGGAGGCCTCTCTGCAGTGTGGCACTGGTCAAGGTGGGTCACGGCCTTGGCCTTTGGAGAATGATGGAGATGATGGCGAAGGTCAGGAAGATCACAGTGGCTGTGCCTCCGATCACGAGGCTCAGGGTGCTGCTGTGCACCTGCATGGCTTGGCAGCGCTCACCCGTGTAGAAGAAGGCATGTCCAGAGACGCACCTGGAAAGAGGACACAAGGTGTGCAGCACTATTTGGCCTCTGGTTCTGCCTACCAACAAGCACCATGTCACATGAATGGCAGAGAGCAGGCGCCGAGCATCCTGGGGCCCGGCTCCTTCCAGGCAGTTGCTAGACCCAACTAATTTAATCCTGTTACAACATTTGCAGTAGAGCTCAGTCAACAGCCTCCTTCCCATAAACCCCCAGATGTGACAGGTCAGGTGGCTAGTGCGTCACACATAAAACTAAAGCCCTGAGAGGTGCATCTCCAGACCAGTCCTCTTGGCCACCAAGGGTGCAGGCGGGAAAGTTAGGGGGTCAGAGCAGATATCATCTCCTGACAGTCCTTCAAAAAGATAGGGGAGACTTTCCAGGTAGAGCTTGATTTAGTACATGGGTTGAAACTTTACAACCTGCTGGCAATATCAAGCCAGATGTCACTGCAACTTAATTGTGCTGCTTGATGCTCCCCAGACTTGCCTGGCTGTTCAGGCCTGTGTCAAAGTGGCTGACACACTGCAGGCTACAAATGGGATTAGAAAGCCAGCAAAATCCAGGATGCTGTGCCGTGTCCCAGAGGGGAGGAAGGGTTACGTAAACATCAGGGGACAGGGGACATGAGACTGGACTGCTCTGGCAGTGTCAGTCCACCACTGGGTGCAGCTGTTTCCAGTTGAAGCCACACCCTCAGGTCATGTGATGGAGGCCTTCACCTAACTTGATCAGTGCCCTGACCACCCTGCTCCAGCCATGCACCCACCTGCAGCTGGCCATGCCCTTCACATTCACACACACGCCCTCGTTCTGGCACGGGTTCGGGTCACACGGGTCTCTGAAATACTGTGGCCAGTTGTGATCCTCCAGGGGGCCTGTGTTCTCCATGGACCGCTTCTGTCGGCCCAGGCTGTCTGATGGGGCTTCATCCAACACAGCCTTTCTAGAACCTTCTCCCAGGACCTGTTGCTCCTGTCCCTGGAGCACAAGGCCTGCAGGGACCAGCCTTGCATCTACAGCTTTCACTGGAACTTCTGTTCGGTTCAGGTGGGTGAGGTCTGCAGAAAAGGGGAGGTGGTGGTGAGGACCGTCAGTACAAATAACCGTGGTTACTTCCGAGGAAGGTTCCCGGGTCACCTCTTCCCCTCACGGACACTGCCCTCAGTGACTTGGCAAAGTGGCTCTGAATGATCCTCGTGACGCCAGTTTCTTTAAAGTAGCCCCGTCACTCGTTTATGTATTGAATTTGCAAAATGAAGCATAGCATTAGACTGACACTAATCTGAAATCAGCAAACTGTTACACTTGAGAAATTATAAAAAAAGACACTTTAAAAAAATTGAAATCATGCTTTCTCTGAAGGATAAGTAAAAATATGGTTTTCGGTCTTAAGAAACAATAGGTGCTTTTGGAGGAGCTTGATTGGAATATGAAGAATAACATGTACCAAATGTTCTGTGGTGTCCATACACATGTACAATTTTTGTGTCAATTAACAATATTTAAGAAATAAGGTAAAATGAAAAAGAGAATTCTCGACCAATTAAGTAAAATGTGGCTCTTCCCCCACCGTTCTTACTTCTTTTTAAACCTCATATTCAAGAAAGATCGCTACCTTCCATAAGGGGAGGCATTGCCTAGAATTCTGTATTGATTCAGGGAGATCAGCAGAATTACCTTCAAAGTCTACAAAAATGATGAGGTCATCATTTTTAAGGAAGCTCCTCCGTTGCAGCATCTGGTGGGAGAGGACTCTGGTCCAGCCTCTCTCACGGCTCCTAAAGCAATCACAGTCCTTGTCGTAAGAGCCCACCACGGACGGCCTGTCCCAGATGACAGAGCCATTGATTTCTGTAGAGGGACAGACAACATAATGTCACATTGCCTTGTCCAAGTCACTCTCCAGCGTGCTTTGAATGACAACACGTGACTTTGTTAACTGGAAACCACATATATGATGGAAAAAGCCATGTTAGCTTCTCTCTTCAGGAGGATTTTCAGAGTTGAGAGGCAGCAGGCAGAGAACAACTCCGTGTGAACACGTGTGTGTGTGTGTGTGTGTGTGTGAGAATGATGAGGTCCTTCAAGGGGAGGAGCCGCAGCCTGGTTTCTTTATGGCTCAAGTCTCTTCCTCTAACAAAGTGATGTGCCCATTTAAAACTGAGGTGAGTTTACTTCATGGAGAGAAATGAGATCAGTTCACAAAGCCCAGAGAGCTCGGAGGATCTGACAGTGAGCACAGCACCTGTCCACTCAGCCTGAGCTTGAGGGGGCAAGGCCACCTGGCCCTTTGTACTCTGTGGACCTGGCACCCAGCCTGGCACTCCATAGATACCCACACCTAATAAGCTGAAGAAAGATAAGTAGGAAAACATGACATTTTAACCTAATACTCCAGTGTGAGTATGATAGTGGTACATGGGACAATCACAATATACAGTGAATGTTTAAAGTTTAAAATATTTGTTATAGTAAAAGCAACATTGCCATGAGCCCCCCTTCCCCCAAAGTCCCCCCCCCTTCAAATATACTTATGCCATCTTTCTGGACACTTTATGAAGCAGTTCTGGGTCCTTTTTCTTCAGTGTCTATGAGGCCAGGTTACAAATATAGTAAACATTGAACGCCATCCAACAGAAAGGCCAGCTCAAAAACATACATGTCACCCATCTTATTCACTGGATCTGGCACTACATGACGCTTGGCTCTTGCCCCAAAGTCAAAATGACCATGAGAGGTAACTGTTTTGTATCAATTTGGGACATGGAGACAGCCATGACAACACAACTAAAGACACACAGGAAAGAGGACTTCAGAACTGCTTCAGAAAGTGATGAGAGGAATGAGATAAGTACGTTCAAAGCCAGAGGGAGCATCCTGAGGGGCCTCTGTGGCACTGTGTCCTTTGCTGTGATACTTTTTGAAATGTAGGTATTCGTAGTACTTTTATTGTTATCATACTGTGTACACAGCATGGGAGAGTGTGAGAGGAATACTGTGTCTCTTGCACGGGTGCGAATCACATCTGTCAGCCCCTCCCCAGGCTGGGTGGTGGTTCCTATCCTTGCCCAAACCACTGACCTTCAGACGTGTGGGCCAGGGAGGTGGTGAGCATCCGGCTCAGGGACATCCTGTTCTTGACATCGGGCTCCTGGTCAAGGATCGTGATGATTGCCTGCCTGTTCTGCACCGGCCACTCCAGGATAGCATCGTTCTCCCCGCTGCACAGGTGAAAAGTCAGACCCAAGTAGCCAGAGGCACTGGAGGTTGCTCTGTCGTGGGGGTACAAGATCACCCCAAAACCATATCCCTCAGAGTTGTAGAACCGAGGGCTCAAGAGCTTGTCCCCTTTCACTGTGTTCTGAAGGACCTGGGAGAAGTTACGCACTGTCCACACCCCTGTCGGGCAGGGCGTCTCCGTCAGGGTGATGTCATCCAGGGAAATGCCCCCAGCCGAGAGTTGGGGGTTGCCTTTTGTGCCCTGGAAAAGGTAGCGAAACTTCTTTTCCTCTCTGAGCGTCACGTGGGCTATTTTCCAATTATGGTTAGAATCCCCTGAGGACAGAGAAAGGCCAATGACAGCAGTGGCTGACATTTAATGAGCACTTGCTCTGAGTACAAACCTCACACGACCCCATCAGATAGGCACCTTAGGGACAGCCCTAAGGTAACTTCTGCCAAGACACCTGTCTAGAAAGGGAAATAGCTTTAAAAAAAAAAAAAAAAAAAAAGAAAAGGGACACTCTGTCTCTATCCAAATCCCAATCATGAATGTGTTTTCCACAGCCACGGCACTTCCCAGGTTCTGGGTTTGCTTCTGAAACTGCAGTTACCGGCTCCGCTAACACTCCAAAGCCCATGTATCTGGCTGAATCATGTGAAGGATACGTTTTATGAGTCAGAAGTCAAATACTAACAATTCCACAGGGCCTTCTTAACACAAAGGGTGTAGCTCAGTGACAGAGGGTTTGCCTGGCTTGTGCAAGGCCTGGGGTTCAATTCCCAACACTGAGGAATGAGGAAGTGTTCTACCTCTAGTCACCATTTACAGCTAGCTGCTCCTCACACCCTCCTGCTGCCTGAGCAGATCAAAGCTTTCATGCTAAGCTCCTTATAGAAGCATGCAAAGCAACACCCAGAAATGTGAGAGCAATGGTATTGGAGTGGAAAGAAATAAATGGTCAGATTCTCTTCACCAGGACGAGCAGACTGAGCTACTGCAGCAGATTAAACAGTGACACCTTGGTGTTTTCAGATGGTTGGGAAGATACTTTGTAGTCAGTTTTTAACTTCCATGTCTCCAGGAGCATCAATGATGCATCCTCCTTCCTTTCCCATCTCCCTTGTGGGAGCTTCCATGCTGTCTCTCCCGGGCCTGGCTTTGTGCAAAGCACTAGTGAATCCTGGATTTAGATACAGAGGTTGAGGGGTTCTAACATGCCTAGAGGGGTTAAAATTTGCCAGGCATCCTGGTAGAGGATGGAATGTGAAGGCAGAGTGGAGAAGGAGAGGGGAAGAAAGAAGAAAAGGGTAAAGGAGGGAAAGGGAGGCAGAGGAGCCAGGCCCAGGTTCTAGGTCAGAGCAGCCCCGTGTTGAGGTACACCTCTGAGTACCTTGGAAGGTCTGCACCTTGGCCAGCTTGCGGACGTTGCCAGTGCCATCATCCCTCCTGACCCAAATGACCAGTCGATCGGAGGGGCTCCCTGTCATTCTGTAGAAGAACTGCAGGCACTGCTGCTTCCTCTTTGGGTAGAGAATCCGGGACTCCAGCAGGGCTGCCTCTTCCAAGGCTCCTTCGTCTGTGTCAAAGTGCATGGAGTAGCCGGCACCTGTGGGGGTAGCAGCATGGCGTCCATATCGGCCATCACCCCTTCCCCTGGGCAAGGTGGCGTGGGAGAAGCACCCTATTCAGGCAGCACCAGCTACAGCTCTTCCGAGCAAAATCAGAAAGTCACTGGCAGTAAGTATTCTACCTCAGTGGACACAGCCGCTGGCCAAAATTGTAAGCTGGTGCTGGCTTTGCCCGAGTTCCCAAGGATGTGCAGTATCAGCCTGTGAGTTCAATTCTCTGGAATGTTTTCTTCTTTTTAAATGAATGTTTTTACTCTCCTTCAGAAGTTCTGTGCCCCTGTGTGTCCTTCCCATGCTTGAGCTCAGAAGCTTGAGCCCTGGACCCATCTCACAGCTTACTAAATACTTGTGCTGAAGAGTACTCCATCTCCTGGGCCAGAGAGTTCCCAGGGTCGCATCACTGAGACCTGGCACTCAGGAGGCTGACCTCCCTCCCAGCTCTGCCACGGACTAGCTTCCTCTTTCCTCTGAGTTTCAGATGGCAGTGAATCCCACAGGATCCCTCAGGCTCTTTGAGTCTGAGTGCTTGCCTGAGCAGAGGGCACTTTCTCTGGCAGTGGTACATGATTCTCTTAGTCCCCATGAAGGAAGCATGTGGAAGGGGCAAAGCTTAGCTGGTAAGGCATGCATAGCTCTTCTGGGATGTGGTCCTGTCCTTTCCTACTATGGTTTTAGAACCTTCTTCCAGTTGACCAAGGTCATACTCCTGTCTATCAGCCTCACAGGGAGAGTGCATCAGAAGTAACCATGGCAACCTAGGTGGAACTTCTAGCTCGTTACCCTTTGAACACTTGGGATGATACATGCGCCAATCCATTGTATGACAGAAATGATTGCCCTTGCCAAAGCCATGGGAAGAATGCTCATGACTTATGACTCTAGAATGCTTGCTGGGGGGCATGGGATCCATGACAAACTCAGGTTTCCTCTGGGAAGGAAATGGAACCAACTCTCAGACAAACATGGTCTAATCAAGTCCACTGTAACTCGGTCCTTCAAAAGCTACCACATGTAGCTCCACCCACTTCCAAAGAGACAAGGGATGGTTTTCACAGCAGACACATAATCAACGGATGCTAAAATGAACTAAAAATAAATGGAGGCACTGGGAGTGTAGCTCTGGGGTAGAATGTTTGGCCAGCATGTGAGAGCCCAGCATCACAAAAAAGGAAAAGAGAAAAAAATAAAGAGAGGAGCAAAGAGAAAGTAATAGGAAGATGGAGAGACGGGGAAGATAAAATATCAGGGCTGAGCTGGTGGGGACTTGGTGTTTGGTCTCTGTCTACTCCGTGACATACGTATCAGTATCCTGCGGTTCAGGGAGACTTTTCCGCACAGACATTTTAAAAAGCACACACCCAGCAGCAACTTCTTGTAGTCCGGCTACTAAGTGGGGGAACCAGATTTGAACCCCAAATCCTTCTGAATTCTTGGCCTCTGTGCTACACAAATGACATCCTGGAACTGCCGAATTTGTGCTGCTGGAGACAATAGCCACCATGCACCTGCGGCCACCAAGGTCCAGGTGTGGCACTTCCCAACTCGACACTTGGGAAGCAAGCAGATTCCAGATAAGTGACACAGAAAGGAGAGTGTCTCATGATGTTGAAATGCTGACATTTTGTATACATTGGGTTAAATAAAATATATGGTTAAAACTATTTTTACTCATATAAAATTTTATCTTTTTTGGAGCTATTAGACAATTTTACATGGCCTGTTGGGGGCTAGCATTGTATTTCCAGGGGACGGTACTGCTCTGGGGACATTAGTTTTACTGACAAGGCCATGTCTTACCAACTGCGTGTCCATGTGACTTTCAGTGAGACCAAGACACACCTTATTTTTGCACGTGCAAAGCTCTGATGGTCTTTATTGAGTCAATAACTAAGATAAAGCAAGTGTTCTTTGTTCTCATTCAGATTTTCAGGGTTGATAACTCATGTGCTGACTGGGGCAAACCAAACTGACCTCTATGAGCCAAGCAAACCCCTTCACCTGGTCACTTCACCACCACTTACCTGTGCACCGGCCACCCAGGGTGTGGTCCCCTTGTGTGGCATTTGTGCTGCCCTTGTGGACCCAATCTGCATCATCGCTGGTGCCCTGGATCATCCCGCAGATATTTGTCTTCTCAAAATCACAGTGATCCAAAAGGGTGTGCGTCGTGGCTGCCAATAACATGTTTATCAAGTAGTTAAAAAGACTTAATGCAGATCAGCCAAATAGTTAAATGTTTTCAGCCACTAAAACCTCACTGGCCACATACAACAGGTGCATGAGCTTCTCATTTTTCTGCATTTTTTTGTTGTATACAAGTATGGCAGCAATCAGGTAGACCTCAGAACTCTTCAGCGTAGACACAGATCTACCTATCTCCAGGATAAAATCTACCTACCTCTGCACATTCTTTACTATGCAAAAGCTGAAGGATTCCTCTAGATCAGGAACAAGGTACTCATGGCACTGTACTTAATGGCCTTCATGCATGCTTTATTGAACAGAAATAAAGATTTTATCTCTGAAAGATCAGTGGGGTTGTCTTAGGAAATACCCCACTTAAGATTTTGGATGTTCTAAGAATAAATGGGGTAAAGAATCTTTGAGGGTACAAAAACTTTCAAGCTCTTTCCCTGTTTTGACCTTTACATCATTATACATCCTTCAAGAAGAAGCCAAGGAACTTAGACAATAACAACTCTTTGCATTGTTCTAACATTTTTACTTCCTGAACTATGAGTCTGTAACTGATTTCTTGGCCATCCTGTGAGGTAGGTGCTATAATTTGTTTCAGGTCTGGAAGTTGAGTACCTTAGCTATGTGGTTCATCCTGTGTTCCCTTTAGCAGAACATTCAAGAAGAGTGAAAGGAAATAAAAAAGGAAGCCAAGGCTGAGCCCGCGGTGCCCTGCCCCAGCCTGGATTCTTACTGCAGTTGTACATCCGGTTCAGCCTCTCTAAGTCGGTGGCGCTGAGGTCCAGGCGCTGCCCGATGATGGTGTTGAACTCGGGGATCTTGGTTGTAATGGTGGGGACATTCTCGTTCTGGTTAAATGAGAATGGTGCGTAGTGCATCACTGACTCGTAATCATAGGGCGTGTTGAGGTCTGTGATCCGGTTGTCATCATAGGTATTGAAGTTGTGCTCATAACCTGTTGGGGCAGGGTCCACAGTCATGGCCATCAGCGATTGCCCCCAAACTTTCCTCTCCAGCCAGATGCTCAGAGAGCCACAAAAGGGAAATAGTATATCTTTGATTTAAACTTATATACACAATTTATAATTATTAAATGTATAAATTAATAGATTCCAATTTTTAATCGACAGCATATTATAATATGTATAAAATTATTGAAATGTCCATAAAATATTTGTTGTAGTATATAAAGTATATATTTACACATTATAAATTATTAAATATGTGCATACATTTAAGGATGCATTGCAAGTTTGTGTGCGTGCGTGTGTGCATATGTGTGTGTGTTTACTATCAGGAAGAGATGAACCCTGGTACTCTGCTCACAGGGACTCAGAGAACTCAAGCGATGTTCAAAGCAGAACACTCCTGGAAGACATAAATGAGTCATGCAGGACGGGAGAAAGTGACCCTTCCCAGAGCACATGGTGCTAGGATGTCACACGAAGTGACAGAACCGTGACGAGGGTCCAGTGATAAGGATCCACCGGTAGCCAGGGTCTCCCAACCTGGTGACCCTGAGGGGCACCTGAAGCAGGCATTTTCCAGTCCCTGTGTGTCTTAACTTCTCATATTATCATCAGGATGGAGTAGGTTACTTTATTCAAGGATTCTTATCAGATTAGTTTACAAATAAATGACTTGAATGATTTTAAAAACTTATTCAGTGTATTTTGCTCTGCTTGTGACATCCTGGGATCCATGTCCAGAAGACAAAGGTCCAGAAGAGAGCAGAGATCATCCTGACCCTACAGGACTCATCACCAGAACACCTGACAGGAACGATCCTGCACACCCAGGTCATCTGCAAACTTCCTATAACGGGTCAGATAAGAGATATCCTGGGCTTTGCAACCCATATTTTCTCTGTCACTGCTACTGAGTGCTGTTATTGTTGCAAAAAGTAGCCATAGGTGACACATAAACCAATGGACATTGCTGTAGGTAGATAAAGGGTTGGTTACAGGCTGGAGTTTACCAACCCTTGTGAGGCCTCAGAAATTGAGTTTTTCGTTAGTGAAAAGGAAAACCACAGTTAGACTCAGGACAAGGAAATGGGCCTTGGAAGAGAAACTGTAGCTGGAGTGACCTTCTTGGTCACTCCAAACAACAGGTCTGGATCATTCACAGCAAGGAGCAATAAATTACAAATGACCCTTCGAAATAATCCTGCCCTTGTTTATGCTCTTGTTGAGTTTCATGCAGAACAGGTCTCCAGTGATTGCACGCAATTTAGATATATGGAATTGCACCTGATGAAAACTCAATAGATAAGCAAATAGGTATTGAGCAACCCAGGCCCAGGCAGACCTCAACAATAGCAAATTACCATAACAAATGGGCTGGCTCTCTGGAAAAGGGACCTAAGATGGCCTGAAGGTATCATGAAAGGATTAACTATTGTCTTCTTTAAAACTTAAATGTGGAAATGTTTTCTGATTTCTCATGAGATTTTCAGCAAAGTCAAGTAGATGTTCAGGAAGAAGAAACTCAGGGCAAGCAGATAAGATCAAGTCAAAGATACCCCACATCTCAGCACCAGAGGCTCAGTCCTTTGACCCATGATTCCAGGCCCCTTTTCCTTTGTGCGCTGGCCCTCTGGTTATGGAACAATCTCCACTAGGAGACAGCTGGGTCTTATCTGTAATCTCATCCCTGGGAGAGCAGGCACGAACAGGTCTGTCGATTGGACTGACAGTCAAAGATTATTCCTTGGCCTCTAGCACAGTGGATAGCATAGGGTGATTTAGCAAGACACAAAAACAATTTTGGAGTGTATGCTGGGGAGCAATTTCACCAGCCTGCCCTCCTCCAGCCTTCGGGAGCCATGGAAGTTTTCACACCAGAAAGTTGCCCTAATACCCTTAAAAGGTTCATTAGGAAGGAATTTTAACAAAATCATTGGTTGACTTTCAGGTGACCTTCCCCCATTTTTCCAACTCACTCTTCCCCTTTTCTGGGACCCTTTATGGGGTCACTTTTGATTCCAGCAGTGTAGCTCTCAGAGCGTTCTCAGCAAACCATGCAGATGACAACCAAGCCCTCCGTGCCATGCTGGGCCCCAGCAAACCTGAGATAATTTCATCCCACCAGATGGTCACATAGTCATCCCGGTCGGTCCTCGATTGCTCGTGGTAAAACCCCAGAGCATGCAGGATCTCGTGCTCGACGATGGCTTTGTAGTCACACCCTAACCCAATGGAGAGGTTCTGTCCCACGTGTTGATTCCCAACCATAGACCAGCACCTTAAAGACCAGGAAAGGGAAACATTTTCCTAGAGAATTCTTAGCTGAAATTTGCGTCACACAGATCAGAATAATGTTAGGTTTGAATTTTTTGAAAAACACATTGCTTTGTAGTGAAATCACTTAAAACATTCTTTTTTGGCTATCTGGAAATATTCAATGCAATGCTGATGTCACAGCTCTGTGCAATAGAACACCAGCACTCACTCCTCTTAACTGCAACCTGTGCCCTCACCATTAAACTCTCTGCTTGTTCCTCCACTACGCCAGCAGCCAGCTGCAAACACTGCGGGCTCTGGGACCAGCCTGTATCTCCTCCAACCTCTAGCATAGCCTGCCCCTTGGTATACAGGAGGTGTGCACATTTTTAAAAGTTTTTAAACAAAACAACAAGCTAAGAAAAGATCTCCTGAGAGAAGCTAAGTATTTATCTTATATCATCAGTATTTTGCTTTTACATTTGTTACTTCTTTGTGCACTTCATTTGCATAAGGGGCTGAATTATACGCAGATTTCCCTTTTCATCTCCATTGTCCATCCATGATCAACAAAACCCCAGAGTCAGAACTAGATGATCTGTGCAAACAAAACCTGAAGACCAAGCTAGGATTGCAGCAGGAGGATGACTTTCGGGGGTGACATCTGTCACTGGCAGGTGATGGCCTTGATTCCCAACCTCACATAGCTTAAACTGGTTGACACACAGAGCATTAAAGAAACAGTATCTCTTTCTGAATATACCATCCATTTATTCTTAGAAATAAACAGCTACGGAGAGCAACTTTATATCTAGAATTTTTCATAGAGGTGCAGCTGAAAGAGTAATTAATTTAGAATAGCATCATTAAAAGGGTGTCATTTATGGTTCAGTAAACTTGATTTTAAAGAAATTAAAACACAGCCTAACCCTAGGAAAAGAATAGAGATGCATGTCTCTGGGTCTCAGACTTATCCCAACCGTATACAGTATTCTCTGCTTAGCGCATTAAAAAATATTTTATTATGAGAGCCATAATGAAAGATTTGAATTTTGCTTATACTTTTTTCCAAATTCTTCTTTTAGACTGTAAAATAGATGTGCCACTTTTTTTTTTATAAACTAAAGGATACATGAGTTTCACACTCTAATATTTTGTACTAACCCAGAAAATTGCTGAAATATGATGTACGAGCTCTCTCCTTCATAGGGCTTGAAATCCACACAGGACTTGAGACGGAACATTTCAAAGGCTTTGAGGATGGCTCCTTTCGCATTGAGCTCTACAGAAATCAAACAGCACATGCATTAGAATTATTTGGACACGGAGAAAACCATGCCACTGTGTGAAACGTATGAGAGGTTTTGGTAGTACATAGACCCTTTGGAAACTAAAACATGCTTTGTTTATACCCATGATTTATAAACAAAGCATGCATATTTTAAATGTGCCATGCAATTATGAAATAGAGTAAGAACCCACTCGAGTGCGTGGGGCAGACTAAAACTGTCTTTTTCTTTGCCCCATTCAAGCAGACATTGTGAGCGCGCTGCCCCAGCAGAATCCCCTGGCACCACATAAACCCAAGTGGTTTGTGAGTCACGCAGCTTTTGTATACACAGATACCTTGGGGAGAAGTAGTGAACGTAGCATCCCTTACCCCACGCTACAAGAAATTCCCCCAGCTGAAGGGAGAGAGCATGGCTGAGAGGGGTTTGGGAGTCCCTAAGGTGGAAGAAGCCCATGTGGCATATGAGAGATGACAGGGGAGGTGGCTTGTCTAGACAGCTATTGTCACACATCAAAGACAATGGGAACAGCTCCTCTACCAACACCACAGAGCTGAGGACCCAAGAGCCAGGACAAGAGGTGCTGACGGGTAGCCTGTGGTGACCACGGCCAAAGATCAAATGCTTCTCCTTCCAACTGACATGCACACACCTTGGCCCGCATGGATGACAAGGTCAGGTGAGTAGAGGGTGCCACAGAAGAAACAAGATTATTTTCTACTTCGTGTGCAGTTTTCTTTCCCATCCCTTCCCTAAAGATTGAGATCTCTGTTAAAAATTAAATGGCGAGATATGAAATTGACCCATCTTCCTTGTACATTCGGTTGTATTCATGCCTCTGGGAATTTATAATTCTTGGCAGTTTATCAGGAATTTGTGCCTGGTACTTACTTTCCTCAATAACTTGTCATAGTGAAGATTTCACAGCAATAACTACATATCAAAGTCGTTACAGAAATGGCTGTGGATGCCTTTGGTGATCATCAATTGATTGGAAGTGTATGGAGTTATTTGTGGCTACTCTGCCCCAGCCCATTGCACCAAAGTCACATGTTAGTGGGTGGGCAGGATCTTCAATACATGGTGTTGGGGAAACTGGATATTCACAAACAGAAGATTGAAACCCAGCTCCTGCCTCTCTCCCTACACCAAAGTCACACCAAAGTAGATGGAAGGCCCAATATGAGACTTAGCACTGAAACTTTCAGAGGAAAATGCAGGGGAAACTCATCAACACATCAGTATGGATTATTATGTTTTTGTTATAAGACCCCAGAAACAAGGACAACAATAACAAAAGTAGAAAAGTTGAATTATATCGAACTAAATAGCTTCTTCTGCACAGCAAAAGAAACAATCAACAATCAACATGCGGAACTGGAAATTTTGTTTGAAATTACTCATTTAACAAAGCATTAATATCCAGAATACATGAGGAACTCGTAAAATTCAGTTACAAAAAATATCCAATTTAAAAATTAGCAAATGAAGTGAATAGACACTTCCCAGCAGAAGACATATAAAGTGTTGGGAGCCGCGGCCGAGCCCGGTCGCCTTACTTGGCGGACGTGAGGCCTATAAGAAAGAGCAAAGCCTGAGCTAGATTACCCCTCCCATCGAGTGTGCTAAGATGGCACTTATCTCCTGCTTCCTGCTTGGTAAACAACCCGCTCTGTAAGATAGTCTGCCTAGCAACAACTGATGTTAGCCAATCAGCCCGCATCGCGCGCTTTGAACTGATTGGCCACTGTAACCCTATAAAAGTGAGTGCCTCTCCCGCCATGAGAGAAGAAGCACGGAAGGAGCCGCGGAGAGCAGACCAGTAGAGGCTTCGGGACAGACTGTAGAGAAGAAGCACGGAAGGAGCCGCGGAGAGCGGACCGGTAGAGGCTTCGGGACAGACTGTAGAGAAGAAGCACGGAAGGAGCCGCGGAGAGCGGACCGGTTGAGGCTTCGGCCGGGAAGAATCCCGGGGCAAACTGTACGGAGAGAGAATAAAGAAAAGCCTGACCACCGCCAGATATTGTTGCGTGTTCTTCCTGCCGGCCGGGAGCGACACCGACAATAAAGGGCCAAAAAGCTTTTGAAAAATGATTTAATGTCATTAGCCATCGGAAAACACAAATCACAGCAATCAGATATCACTTAACTCCAGTTCAAATGGCTATTATAGAAAAGACAAACCATAAATGCTGGCAAGGATGTAGCAAAAAGGGAACTCTCTTATACCATCGAAGATGTAATTAGTGTAGCTATCACAGAGAACAGTATAGAAGTTTCTCAAAAACACTAAAAATAGTTCTACCCTAAAAACCAGCTATGCCACTTCTGGCTACATATCCAAAGGGAAGGTATCAGCATATCAAAGAGTTTTCTGTATACTCATGTTTATTGCTGATTATTCGCAATAACTAAGCTATTGCATCAGTTTAAATGCCCATCAGGAGATAAATGAATGAACAAAATGTAGTGTATGTCTCCTATGTCTATCTAGAGTAGAATATGATTGAACCATAAGAAGAAATGATAGTGTATCATATATAAGAAAATAGGTGGACCTGTGTGATTGCATCAAGAGAAATCCAACATGTACAAAAGGCAAATGCCACATAGTCTCTATCCCAAGAAGGTGTTGAAAAATGTTTACCTGAGTACAGACTGAGAATTACTAGAGGCTGGAAGCATGGTAGAACAGAGACCAGCTGGATGACAAACCCAGCTAGGTGGAAGTGACAGGTTCTAGTATTGTGCAGCACAGTGGTGCATTCTGCATTGAGCTGGAGAGGTGCAGCATAATGACAGGGAGACGGAAAGGTTAATGACCCCAACTGGGTACAATTGTTTTGTATGAGTCAAAAAATTTTAAAGTTTAAGGAGTTGAAAACGCTAACTACCCTGGTTTGATTATTGTCACGCTGTACCCTATAATTTTGTACAATTAAAATAATAATTAATTTCTCAAATAAAAAAAGGAAATAGAATAGCCAACAATTTAATTGTGGACAGAGCACAAATAACAACAGCAAGAGCACTGAGGGGTACAATGGGATCTCAACAGATCTGCTCTGCAAGAAATTCTTCAGGAAGTGCTCCCGACAGAAGAAAACGGACATGAGCTAGGAATGCAGTCAGCGGGGGAAAGGAAGAACACTAAGACTTGCAAGTACAAAAGTAAACATGAAGATAATCATTTTTATTAATATTCTAAAAGACAACTAAGGCAAAAAGTAATAGCATCATGTTGTGAGATTTATATAGCATGTCAATTGAAGTATAATTTGATAATATTTCAAAGGCAGGATATAAATGTAATTATGCTATTGTGAAATGTTTGTATTTTATGCAAATGAAATCATATTAACTTTAAGGAGGCCATTGCATATTGAAGATACATATTGTAACTTCAAGGTAAAAATCTCAAAGAATAATACAAAGGGATTGGGCCCAAATCTAACAGAAGAATTAAAATGTTAAAACCAATTAATCAAAGTGAGAAAAATATGGGCAGTAGGAATTTGGGGGAGAGTGTGAAACACGTACAAGACAAATTAGATAATTTAAGAAACAATGGATCAACAATTGAAGTAAGTACAAATGAGCACTTTAATTAAAAGTTAGCTGAATGAAAGGGGGAGGCATAGATGTGTGAAATAAATCCTTTTCTATTTTAGAAAAGTCTGATATGTTTCCCTTGCAACAAAAGGGAGAAATCAGTATGGAAACAGCATCCTGGACCTACATCCCATTTACCTAAACAAATCCTTAAGTACATTTTTTCACTTTCTGATGCCAGCTTGTATCTTGCACCCTTGTTCTTCACGTTTATCCTGATTTTATTAAAGTGTTAGTTCATGCTACAGCCTTTAATGACCCTTTCACACTTTATCTCAGACAGGTTAAGCAGCCCTAGTTTTGATGTATGGGGTATGATCTAAAATCATGGTGCATATTTAAAAGTTTAAAATTTATTACAGTAACAGACACACTCCCTTCAACCCCCCTCAAAAATACACCACCACTCACTTTGAACACATCCTTCTTGCACTTTCTGAAGCAGCTCTGAAAGTCCCCTGTCATGTCTTTAGTTGTGCTGTCATGGTTGCCTTGGCATCCTAAACTGAGCCTGAAAGTTGATCTTTCATGGTTATTCTGACTTTGAGGAAGACCCCGAAGCTGTGTGGTGCCGGATCTGGTGATAAGATGCATGAGGACATGGCAGTAGGATTTCACAAGCCTGCCTTTCCATCAGATGGCATTCAGCAGCAGCACTCACCCCGTTTTGTTTTATCACACTTCATGAAGACACTCATGAAAGGGAACCTCCAGAACTGCTTCAGAAAGTGGCAGGAACAGAGGAATAAATGTGTTCCAGTCATGGGTGGAATTTTTGGAGTGGGGGTTTGTGGCAATGTACTTTTATTGTAATAATTTTTAAAACTTAAACATTCACTGTATTTTTTAAAATCACACCTCAGAATATCATGCCTCTTTTCCTGTGAGATAAAGAATCACCAGTCTGAGAAACCCTTTCATACAACAGAGGTTGCTTCAGTCTGAGACTGAAGATCAAGAAGAGGGAGAGAGAAGTCAAACCAGAGGGTCCCCCCAGGATGATGCTGTTACCCAGATTGTCCGCCAGGATGTACGGGATGGGAAACGTCCACCTGGCAGTGGGGTTCCTCAGGGCATTTCTTGATTTCTGTAAAAACAAAAGCAAAGAGGACTGGAAGCCTCATCCTCAAGATCACCTTGACCTCCCCCTTCACTAAATTCTCACACAGCATGTCAAGAAATGTACACAATTCTGTGGCACTTGTCTTCACTTTATAAAAGTGATACAAATTCTACACAGATAATTTGGAAACCTCTAGAAACTATGAAGAACAAAATAAGGAAACAAAAGTGGGGGAGATGTGAGCCACCACAAACACATTGTCTCATTCCCTTCTGTCTTACTCTTTGTTAGGAAAATTGAGCAGATACGTCATTTAATAATTATAGACTTTGTGCTGTTTACTTATTTTTCCTCTGTGTTTGTCATTGTCAGCTAAAGGGAAGCCCTTATAGGAACAGGTTATAGATTAGAACTTTTTCTTCTGCATGCTGCCCAACCCAGCTCACCCTCCATTGGTGCAACCAATTCTGAGGGACATTATTTTGGGCAGATACTCACTGGCAGAAGGATGTCCCCTTGAAAGAGGTCCAATCCTGCAGCGACATGTGGATTAAAGAAAGAATAGTTGAAAGAACATTACTCAGAGCCATCTTTCACAATAAAATTCATTTCTGCTGTAATAAATCTCTTACTGTAATCGTGATGTGATAAATCCCTCTATTTAACCACACATGAATGGTTAGTAAGCATCAAAGATTATCATGTCATTTTTTCAATTCTGAAACAAGAATGCTGTCCAAGACTCTGAGAGGTAGGCTACCAGGGACCTGAATGACCATGGATTTTCAGAGACAGGAAGTGCTGAGCTGGGGAGACAGGAAGTGATAAACCAGAGAGACAGGAAATGATGAACTAGAGATACAGGAAGTGATGAACTAGGAGGGAGTCTGTGGCTACCAGGAAAGTCAGTACTCTTGCCTCTTGCTATCATACTGTTGGGGGAAAATTGAGTCAACAGTAGCCTGGGGCTCAGGAAAAGAAATATTGTATTTAACTCTGATGGTCCACCGAGGAGTATTCTCCAAAGTCTGAGGTACTGATTACAGAGACTTTGTCTTTTTTATAGGGTAGTGAGAGTTACAAAAAACTAAGATAAGCATGCATAGCTAAAGGCCATGATACAGTGGGTATGTTGTGGTAAGAGCAGCTGTACATAGCAAAGTTGCTTTTAGCACATTCACAGAAGTTTCAGTTTGATAATGAATCTTATGATTTAGCTGAGTTCAGTGGCTGCAGCTTTATTGAATAAAATGGCTGCAGGTAGGTCAGGATTTCTGCTTTAACACTGTCATGCCTCTAACTCTGGACAAGTGGCTGGCCTTGGTCTTTCCCGTGGAGACGTAAAGGACCCCAGAACCAAGCCTGTACCCTGTGACAAGGAAACCAGGAAAACATGGTAGATCCTTCAAATCTGTTTCTCCAGACTCCAGCTTCTGATGCTCAGCAGAGAAAATTCCAAATGCAAGCTTCCTTCACCTTTTCTGTGATGTCTCAACTTACAGCTAGGAACCACCCAGGGAATAGTCTGCCTCTCAGGGCATAGTGTGACCCAGGGGCAAAGCAATGGCCCTTGAAAAGCAGGGTCCAGGTTCCCAAGGGACATGAGGAGTTGCTAGGTATTGACTAAGATGTTTCTACCTCTCCTTTCCTGATACAGCTCACTTGACCTGTTCATGCAACATGGGGACCATAAACACCACAGGCAATAATAACAGAGCTGGCTCAGTCAGAAAGACTTGCACTGGAGGGGTCCCTTCAATGGGCACTGGGTGCTGGTCCATCCATCTCCTACCCAGGCTTGTAGGGGAGCAGAAGCCTGTGGGGTTTTTTTTTTGTTTGTTTGTTTTTAGGATGAGAGGGGGTTTTCCCAAAGAAGATGACTAGCTCAGTCAGTCCTTAATCCTAGGGTTGTCCAACTACAGAAAGGGTCCTGGGGACACATGTCACATAGAGATGTGTGTCCAATGAAAGCCAGATGTCTCTACTCTATCCAGAGCTTCAGGGGCTCCATCTCAATTGACACCTAATGTGTCCTCAGCCATGACAATGGGAGGATACAGCAGGGACCAGAACAAAAACCCTAAGGAAACTGCATTCTTCATTGGGAGAGACACATGAGCAGACCAATGGAGTAAGGCAGATGGTGGGAGGAAAAAGCATGATGAAACAACCATGAAACAGGACTAAGGGAAAAGAGTGTTGAGGCAGGAAAGGTTGCTGTTATACCCTGGAGAGTCAGGGCAGACCTACTAGAGAAGATGGCCCTCAGCAGAAATCTGGTAAAGGATAGTGGGAGGCAGAGACCGGAGCAGACAGGAAGGTCCCGTGGTTTGGACCAGGTCCACCCTCAGAGCTTGTGCTTGGGGCTTCGGACCCCACAAAGCACTCCTTTCTAGTAAGTGTCAGGATGGTGTCAGTGCACAAGTGATAACTACACAGGAACAGCCACTTGCCAATGTGTGGTCAGCATGGCTGGGAAGCTGTGAGAAGAAAGGACAGCATGGGACAATGGAGGTCAAAGAAGCATCCAGGTCAGCTTATCCGGAACTGGCATCCCCTTGGTCTGCCCAAATGGAAGTGCCAATTCCATAGCCCACGTGGGACTCATAGTACTAAGGGCACAGGGGACGGAAACTGAGGACTGCACTTTGAGAGTCCAGGCTGTCACTCTGTGCTGTGAATTGGAAGAAAACACCAGAGGCTGGAAGTGATAGGATTCAAATGCCTTTGAAAGGACAGCTCTGCCCCCAGGGGAGAGAAGGGAGCTCAGGGCTACTCTGAGATTCTGAGTCTGAAATCTAGGAGGAAGGAGACACGTTTACTGAAATGAAGAGGACAGAGAAGAGCAGGTCTGAGGACGGAGGATAAGGACAGGTACATCAGTGTTCTGAGGCGCAGAGAGAAGGTGGGGAAGGTGACAACTTTCTTTGCATGATTCTGTCCCCTGTCTGTGATGGTAGGCTATGTCCCTGCCTCTCAGGTCAGAGGTCATGATGGGGCTGACGAGCAAGAGATGACTGAGGTAGAACTTATTTCTACTCTGGAGCTAAGGATCAGAGAAAGAAAGTGCTGATCCTCATTTCAGCCCTGTTTTACAGTACAGTGGATCTCTGAATGACAGACATCTGGACTACCTGACTCTCAGGAGAGAGATTTTGGTGACTGGCTTTGAAGCCACGGAATATCCACCCACCCAACCCTTTGCTTTGCTAACTCATTCGACTCTCTCCATGTCACCAGTTCCCAGTGATTCCAATTAAACATCAACCAGCTTCCCTGTCTGTGAATGGGACACAGGATAGAAACACAATCCTCATGTCATATACAAATTACACTGAGCTATTGAGATATGAGTCAGGAGACTGGAGGTGGCCTCAAGACAAAAGCCAGTGACCTGAAGAAAGTCACACTAGCCATTTAAACGTGAATTCCATCGCTTCCCATTAAAGGAAGGCAGCCTTTACCCTGGCACAAGGTTTGACAAGATGCACCTGGGGAGGAAAGCTTTCCCCACTGAGGTGTTTATGATACGAACACCTCTGCTTCCACCCACCCCAACCAAAGACACTAAAATATACAGGCTTCTCTCATTTCAAAGAAAGATTCAGAGGAGAGAGACCAGACAAGCGACCATCTCAGGAATGGATGAGTCCCTGTATTCATGTACGAGCTGATCAAACAGAAATACAGTCACACTCTTCTTGAATTCCCATAGCCAAACAGCTGTTAAGTACATTTGATGGACAGAAGAGGGGCATCAGGTCTTTTCCTCACTAAATAGAGGAATGAGCTTATTCTTTGAACATCATCTCTTGGCAAGCAGAATAAACACACATTTTTCCCCTCTTTTTTCAAAATAGAAACTGAGAAAATGAAATTTTCATATTGGAGAACTTGTTACATGTCTGTGTTTTTAAATCCCAGCAGGATGCATCAACTCCTCTAGAAAATCTGATCTGTCCTCCTCCACTACACTGCAGTTGGTCAGAAGTTTTTAGTCCTCATAAGGCACCAATAAATATAGTTTCCCAAAAGATACACAGTGCAGTGCACTGAAGATTTACACATTTACCAATCCCATCCTTGGGGTTTAAATTATCCAAAAACATTAACAATGCAGAACTGAACCCACCTAAATTGATTTCTGGAATATCCTTTGGTTCACCAAAATCCACATCCTGCACTGTGAAAAGTAGGAGAAAAATGGTTACTACCTGTGCTGAACGAGAGGGACAGAGTTCAGAAACTGCCCATTCACACTGATCCTTACCATTTCCACTAGAAAGATGCTTAACCTGCAAGGAGATAAACATAGAGAAAATGGGTAAGTTATATAAGATTTGGTATTGCTAAATATGAGGAGCAGAATTGTACTTACCGACACAGCTGCTGTATGTGCAAAAAGCAAGGTTAAAGAGAGAATGCAAGAGGACCGAATGCAAACCATTCTTGCTAGTGAACTGAGTTTAGCATAGGCACCTTGTCATAAACATCTATCGGACCTTGCCCTGCCTCGCACATTAGAAACTTTGACCCTCTTATATGCGTGTAGCATTTAAAAAGATAGTTAGTTAGAGGTGATATCATTGTTTCTTGGGCTGTTACAGGTCTACCTTAAATACTCCAGCATTTGAAACAGTATTGAGGTTTTTATATATTGAGCATATATTAACAGTTGTATACATTAGTGATAACTGTTCAGCTAACAGATAAAACATACCCTCACAAAAGAAATAAAATTAACTGATAAAATGACAAAAATGCACTTAAATCTCACAAAGATAAGTTTTGTAGAAATGTTTTAAAGTAGTTATCAAAGAACATAAAAAAGAGACACATCTCGCTTCCCATATTTTTCCATTTGTGTGTATGTATGTTTGTATGAAATATTCTGATGTGAGCCTGTAGTTTTAAAGAAAATTCACTAAATATTCCATCAGGGATTTTGTGGAACTTGGCAAGATGACAATTTTTGAGAGTTATGTGAAAAGGGTTAACTTCCCAAGTTAAATGAGAAAATTTTGAGATAGAAGAATAAATGTAAAAGACTTGCGCTCACAGAATAACCAGAATTGTTATAAAATTCATTACCTAAAAGAAAGAACGTGAGTACAAAGACTCCCATTTGTGGGAAGAAACCAAATACTACCAGGGAAATCCTGGTCTCCTTAGTAGTAATATAATTAGCATTTTCATAGGAGGACTAAATTAAATTCTTACTGCATGCTATTCACAAAAATAAACTCTAAATGGGATTAATATTCAGATACAAAAGTCTGAATTTTGGAAAAGAAAATATGGGGAAATGCTTTTAACCTTGAAATCAAGAAAGTTTTTTTGTTTTATTTTGTTTTGTTTTTGTCTTTTTGAGACAGGTCTCACTATGCAGTTCAGGTTGGCCTTGAACTCACTTTGGAGTCCAGGCTGGTCTTGAACTTGCAACAACCCTCCTGTCTCATGCCCCCGAGTGCTGGGATTACAGACGAACACCACTATCCCTGGCTAGGAAAGATTTATTAAATAAGAAAAAAAATATGCTTAGAAATTAGTAAGAAAAAAATTAACCTGATTACACCAAAATTTAATCCTCTTTATGATAAATATACAACAGAATTAAAACATGAATCACAGATATTCATACCACCTAAAACTTTAAAAATAAGTGTCCAGGAAATACAAGAAATTCTTGCAAGTCAGGAAGAAACGAGATAAATATATGAGTTAGAACAAAGGTGAGCAAAAATTATGAATAGGAAATGCACATAGAAGAAAACTCAATTAGCAAATAAGCATGACAAGATTTTCAACCTACAATTCAGAAAAAGAGTGTAAATTCAAATGACAATGAAATGTCAACTAATGTTCAGACCTCCTTAAAGGAAGAAAGCAGGCAGTGCGAAATGTCAAGAAGAAAAAGGAAATAGCATCCTACCCTGCTCGCAGGAGTTGTGGCCATTTGGTGTTCTGTAATAAAGTTGTAATATACGTCGTCATTTATAGGTTAGAAACTCCCAGTGACTATAGTCACTAAAGACCCTCACATGTGCAGGATATTTTGGGAATAGTACCAAGTAGAAACTGTGTTAATACTGGAAGAATAATAAGTATGGGGTATAAGCAAAGAAAAATGCTTTAACAGCCAGCTCAGACAACAGTAAGGATTCCTTTGCAGTATTTGATGAGCTTGGAAATAATCATTTTCAGTGGGGCGACCCGGGATTGAACTCAAGACTTTGCATTTGCCAGGCAGGCACTCATGATGCTGAGCTAAATCCCAGGCCCGGAATAATCATTTTCTATGGCATGCAGATGGGCCCTGCTCAACATCAAGATGTTGGCACTATGTCATTGGTTGTGTTGGGAAGAGAATGATGTCATGGCCTGTGTGTTCCCAGTGCGAGCTACATGTGTGTGTGGCCTGTTTGCTCTTCAGTCTGTGATGTCAGAGCCTGCATTTCCCCCTCACTCCCACTGCCAAGCAGGGGCCCAGTGTTGGAGAGCACTTCAGGGAGCAGCACTGAATGCCAGGAGGCCACAGGACAGAAGAGGTCTAAGGCTGGCTGTCCCAAAGCCCTGCATGATGAGGATGTCAACAGTGACAGAGCACCATCCACCACCTCTCACTGATAAGAGCCACCAATGTTTTCCAGCAAGTCCCAAACTGGTTCAGCAACTAAGATAGCTTAAATCTGCAAATACAATCTGTATATCTTAAAGGACTTGATAAACACTAGCTTTTAAAAAATGGCTCAAAGAAGTGAGAAGAAAACTAGTTAATTGACCTTTATTTTTTAAATATGTTACTTTATTTTTCTCAAATTCTGAAGTGGTAAGGATGAGAATGACTATCTGCTGATTTTGGAGGCCAGAAAATAAGGCTTAGTTTGTTTTTCTAAAGAAAAACAGTGATGCTCTTGCTTTGGTACTGTACTTTATTAAATGCCAGGTGTTTGGGCTCCCAGCAGGTAACAGTGGTGCTGTCTCCCTCCTCCCAGCTTCACCCACTTCCCACCAGATCTGATTTTTATTTTTCTCTTCCTTCCTGGACACATCTAATTCATCTTTCATGTGGACAGACTGAAATCTCACCTCTCACCCATGGGCTCACGGGTAAATCGAGTGGGAGTTCCTACTTCACAGAGCTGTGAAAGGATTCAGCACAATCTATGCAAGCTGCAGTTTCCAGAAACATAGGGAAGCACTGCAGGTCCTGCCTCCTGGGAAGACAGGACCTCGGCCCAGCGCCCTGCTTGCTCAGTGGGCCCAGTGATGCCAGCACAGGTCTCCAGCAGCCACTCTGGCCCACGGATTTCCTGTATAGTCCTGACCGGTGTTAATGAGTTACCCATTGCTCGCAATCCCAGGCCCTCATTACCCAGGATGTCTTGGAGAGAGGCCAGAGCCAAAAGCCCTTGGCTAGAGAGTTTATGGCTTTGCAGTTAAAAACTAAACCATGTCCTACAGCACAAGGTCCACATTGCTTTCCACCATAGGCCTCCATGCCTGGCACACAGTAGGCAGGTAGTTCTCACATTGGGTAAAAAGTCGGAGAAATATAGTTTTCTCTGCAGGGGTGGAAGGAGTGACATGTTGGGGCTCAGGGAGGATGTGCCACAAGCTCATCTGCTGGGAAAGTGGGGGGAAGCTAGAGGAGGAAGCCTTGGCCCTGGAAAGTGGCCAGTGCCTCCACCCTATAAAAGTCAAGGTCTCCCTCAGGCTGACCTCAGGGCCTTGCAAGTCCTCTCACCCCATCCTTCTGAAGATGTCTTTGTGCGTCCCTTCCTCGTCTCCCCAGCTTTTGGGAGACTCGGCTCTTTCATGCAATGCCCTGCCCCCTACTGCTGTCCCCTAACTTCTCACAGGAGAGGCTTTACGGTTCATCCTGTGTGATTCTCATACCCAGAGTTCTCAGAAGCAAGCAGAGCAAAAACCAGGGCCCCAGCACAGGGATGTCAGGCTGAGAATCCGTGGGATCCCCAGGATGGCTATTTACGTAACTCTGCTGGGTGGCGTTGGCAGTGACAGAAAGACACAAGCATGGCTGTGTCCAAGAAAACTTACTTACAAATGGCAAAGTGTCACAGATTTCTGACCACTGGGTTTTAGAGAACTGACCTTTTATATGGTAGAGACTGAGACAGCGGTGAGTTGTAAAGGAAACTGCAACAGCACCCAAAATATACACAGTACTCACCATGGGCCCGGCACCATTCTGACAACCTGATGCCTAGGTCCTCATTTAATTTTCCCAGTAAGTCCACAAGGTGGGCACTGCTATTATCCCCATTTTACAGACTAAGAAAATGAGAATGGAAACTTTCCCACAGACACAGGCTCTAGCCAGTGCTCCAATCTGCTGCTATTAATTTGCCAGGATGTCAACTCTGATCAGTTACCCAAGAATGTCCCTTCCAGGAAACCCAGCTGCATATGGAATCTGGAGAAAAGATCCAACACTCGGGCATCATGGAGTGAAGGGAAAATATATCTGGGTTGGACTTTTTGTGGAATCATAATTGTTAGGAAGAGAATTGTGGTTTATGTTATGGAAGTCAGACACGAAGAAGCAGGCTGACCTTGCACAAGGGTCACTTCATTGTCCTCCTGGTCCTGTGAGGATCTGGGATCCTAACCATTTTGAAGGAGATATTGTTAGTCACCAAGTGACACAAGCTGGCCATATGCAGATGAGATGTCTCTCAGAGATGGCGCTAGGCAAAGAGAGGGTGGGGTTGTTTGAGATTTTTTTTCTTGTAGCAAAGTCATTTAGTTTTGAAATCTTTCAAACAGAAACAAGATGACAGTGCATTCTGTTCCCTGAATTCTGTGCATTCAGTGAAAACAAAAACAAGATGACAGACACATAACTGGATCCAGAATACAAAGGGCTCAGCCTTTAGAACATGAACAGGACTTGTAATGTCACATCCCTTCAAAAACAGTGAAACTGTTTTGGACACAGCTGATACTTTGGTGCAAGTGGCCAACAGCTGCACTCTGGGCCAGCTGCAATCTGCCACATCAACCAGGATCTGAACAAGATGACAAAGGAGAAGGTAACAGAGCCCCTGGGATGTTGGACATTCTTGGGGTAACTGCTCAAAGTTGAGGGACCAGTAGAGTAGCGGCAGGTTGGTTGAGCTTCACCTGCAGCATCAAATTTTTTCAAACGAGTTCACTTCTAATTAGCAAGAGCTGGAAGGAGAAGACCGCAGTGGCAGCCACTCTCTAGAGTGATGAAACAGGTCCCTACCCACGATGACAGGGCACAAACACACAGCAGGACCATCAGTCACTAGTGGACATACAGATGGGCAATAGGGTAGATCGCTCAACAAAGAAAGCCAGCCACACTTTGGATGTCACTGGGATTTCTGGGAAGAGCAGTTTGACAAATTCCTGTGAAGTTCTTTACTTTGAATGACATTTATTGCCATTGAATAATAGCAATTATTATACAACCA